ACCAACCAACCAACTAACTATTCATTCCCTGCCATTCTCCTTAAAAGGGATCCAAGGAGGTTTATATCAGTAGGCGGAGGAGGCAAAAGAGCACTCTCGCACGCTCGGGCCCCTGTTGCTGCTACCTATTGACTGCTGCCGCTGCATCACTTCCTCCAGTGCTCCCTTCAGGCGGGGGACAAGGGAGCAATGACATGAGCTGGAGGTGAGCCCTGGCAGTTGCAATGGAGGAGGTGATCGGGCGGCGGAGGCAGCAGCAGCAGGAGACAGAGATGGAGGATCAGTTGCCCATTAACTACTCCTCCACCTCTAGCAAGGGTCAAAATTAGGGGGGGGGGTCTTACACACTGGGTGGTCATATAAACAGAAAAATATGGTAAACGCTAAAAACAGTACATATGCAAATATCAAAAAATCAAACAAATACCACTAAAATGGTAAACAAAATCAGCACTAGGAACACATAAAGCCACAAGGCACAGCAATCCATTAAAAACTCCTCTCAGCCAATTACTACGGGAACACCTGCCTGAAGAGAATGGTCAGTGGTAGCAGCAGCAAGAGATGCCAGAGCATGAGTGAGTGCTCCTTTTCCTCTACCCCCTTCTGTGTATAAAATGACCCCCAATTTCCCCCTAATTAGTTTAGGAAAAGAGAAGGTCCTCCTCTGTGTCCCCACCAAACACACCTGTGAAGGTGGTGTCACCAAGAGAAAGATCTCCCTGTTTATCTTAACACTTGGGCAGGCTCATAAAGGGAGATGCAATTCTTGCCTTCAACTATCTTGACCAAACTTCCAGAGCTTACCCAGCATTCACCTAAGGCAAAAGACAGAAAAGCATTCCTAAACTTTGTGAGGCCTCTCTCCTCACAGCATGAAGCACCTTGAAGGGAAGGTGGTGAAATTCTTTTGAATTTGGACAATATGCATCAGGACTGATTTGTATAGGAGTCTTATATGGAAATGGAAACCTTGCAAGAAAGAAATAGCAGGGAACTATTTCACACACAGTACACTATTTCACATTGCTTTTTCAAGCTCTCTACACACAGTATATGTTGCCTTGATATATATTGCAGTTCCCTTTTTACAAAACAAACAGCATGAAATGATTGAACAACAGAAATCCTATTGTTGCTGATAAAATGTGTGGGGTTTTTTTACACTTTATGGTTATTAATACTGTTCCAAATTGCTGTTTGCAATCCTCCCAATAAATGGCATCAGTTTCCACATTCTTGGCAGTATTATATAAGTACAAACTTTCAAATTCTGAAAGTGATCTGCTTTTTGGAGATCAAAGGTAACTAGAACCTTCTTATAATACAATTTTAAAAGCAGACAAAAAGCGATAGTGTGACATCCAGACAGATCTCCTTTGAACATTATTATTTCAAGCTACTGCTCAGAATATTTCTCCAGGGTATTTCATTTAAAATTCGGAGAGGGCTCTGAGCTATCCGGGTTGTTTCTGAAAAGAAAGAAATCCCAACAAGCAAATAAATTCTAGAAACAAACAGATCTTCTCAAGCAACAGTTTCCAACCTTGGGTAACCCAGGGGTTCTTGGACTACAACTCCCAGAAACCCCAGCTGGCACAGCTGGTGGTGAAGGCTTCTGGGTATTGCAGTCCAAGAACACCTGGGTTACCCAAGGTTGAGAACCACTCTTGTTAAGTACAAAAATGTATGATGTATATACAAATTTTTAAAAATCTTCAATGGCACTAATTGAAGACTAGTCTTTAATGACAGTGGAGTGACTCTTGGTCCTGTGCATAATAGTGGTTTAGGATATTTCAATGTCTTCTTCCATTCCTGGCTCTTGTTCCAGTATATGTTAGGGGTCCCAGGAAAGGTCCTATGAGCTATGCTTAAATATGAAGTCTGCAGGATTGCTAGAGAAAACTGATTGTAGAAGAAGATCAAAAAAAGAGAGACAGCCTTCTTCTTTGATATTTGACTCTCAGAGAATTATCCTACCCTTTTGTCAGTTTTAAACAGCTTCCTCCTCTCCAAGGCATTACTTGATGGCCCACAGAGGCAGGAGCAGAAACAGTGCACTGAAAGAGGGAAGAGTTGCCCGCCTTTTCTAAAGCATCATGTATGCATTGATACATATCAATCTCATATAATGTCAACTAATGTGGACAACTAACATTACAGTCATGAAAGATTCTGATGTTCTGAGTATGGGGATTTACATCATGTCAACATGCCCATGCCCATGTTTTGTATCAGCATACTCAGGACATCAAGAGATCAAGCAAGGGCTAAGGAATGTTTTTGAGGAAGTAAGGAGATTGTGGGATTGGCAGTTTGGAGACTGGATAATGCCAGAAGGGCAAACAGGTTGTTTTTAAGGGTTGTACTTGGTGCTAGAGAGAATGCAAAACAGCAGATGAAAGCACATTCGTGTTTCAGGGATACAGCCCTCTTTAAGCTCATGCGTGATTAATCAGAATGCAAATGAGATCTATATCAAGTGAAGCCTGTATCTACTTCCAATAACCAAATTAAACAAAGCAAACTAATTTTCAAGCTACAGAAGATCAGTGAACCTCACACTATGGCTGAAATGTGGCAGTAAACTGCAGCTACTCTGACTTACTGTTGGATTTCAACCTATGACCAATATATACTGCTTTCTTTCTTGCCCATTCAGAAGCAAGCAGATGAATACTCACTAATTGTAGTATAAGGCATTTCCCCCTATAATACCACTATTATATTATCTTCTTTGCCATCAGTATTTTTGTAAATAGAAGTGACAAGCAGATTACACTATTATAAATGAGGGGTGTACAAAGGAGGTAAATGCACAAAAAAGCTTGACAGGAGGGGAACTATGGGATGATGAAAGTGCGTTTCATCTGCCTTTAGAACTCCTCTGATAGACAGCATTATTGTGAATTCTGTGTGGGTGCACACATCCCTGCAAGCTCATATGCGTACACATGTATGTGTGTGCACAGATTTGTGATGCTGTTCCCACTACATTCATAGCCTTATCAGTTCGCTGTGGCCAGATGGAAACATTCTTGCTTTTTTCCTTCCCAATGCTCAGCATGGCCTAATATAAAGTAGTTCTGCATGTTTTTTTAAAAAAATAAACATCCTTAGAATACTATGACCTTGCAGCCACCCTGAAACACCTGGATTCAACCACCTCCCATACCCATGGGATCCCACTGTTGGTGCAAGACAACAGTATAACTCTTGTTCAGCATCCTAGAGCTCTCTAGGTTATTGTCCCACCAGTAAACCTCTCCCCCTTTTCAGTGGAGGAGCGCTGCTGTTGTTTCTGAAAGTCCTTCACCCACCTTTCCAGGCAGCTTGAAATTTATCTCTAGTGAATCTATTTTTAGTGGGGGTGTTTTTGCAGTGACATTTCCTGTTCTCCATACAAGCAAGGATGTGTCAGTGTGTGTTCACTGTTTTGAGCTAATATGTCTACTATTCAAAGTTCACCACGAAAAACGGCATAGTCTTCATGTGGCTGATTGCTTGACTGCTGCAAAACCCTTCGCTTTGATGTATCTTTAATGAAAGAACAATAGCTCTACTTTTAGAAATCAGGAGAACTAGAAAGCTGCTGCTGTATTGAACTGTAACTGAGCCCTAGAAAGCTCATTGCCTCATTATTTTCCTTCCTCCATTTGATTTGCTGAATTTTTTTTCCTGGCCATTTTCTATAGCTACTTTATCAGAACAGCTGAGTACTTAGCCTTTGTTTGCAGTAACATTTGCTGCTCCAAGTCCTAGTAATTAAACTAATGAATAGTAAAACATTCTCAGTCAATTTTTGTTCTTTACTCATTGCTATATTTTCATATTGAGTAGCTCCTATAATACACAGTGATAAACAGAAGTTCATGGAATGACAGCTGAACAGAACTATGCACTGAAATGAAAGTGCAAGATGACAGTAAAGTTATGGAATGAGAAGTTTCACTGACATGAAAAAATGACTGTGACTGTTTCAAAGACAAGAAAAATGGAAGTTATTAATGCCTCTCTACAACAATCTAGCTGCATAGAATCGAAGCAGATAAATCAAGAGACAATGACATTTTTTCCAGTGGGTTAACATAAAGGTGTGCTTTCTCAGAATCTTATGTAAAGTTCTAAGTTCTGTCTGCACGTGCAAAATAATTGAATATGTCAATGTTGAAAGTGACAATGAGCATATGTTCAAAAAAGGGGGAACCTCTGGAAACTTTATATGCTCTTTCATTACTTTATTAGATAACACCAAGTTGTTTCTAACTTGTGGTGACCCTGTGAATAATTGACCTCTCAAACATACTTCCTTGATTGAGTTAACCCATCTGATACTACAGTACGTCCTCCTCTTTTTCTACTGCCTTCTACTTTTCCTAGGATTATTATCTTTTTTGTAGTCTTGATGAAATGTTCAAAGCACAATAGTTCAGTCATTGGGCTTCTAGTGACAGTTCAGGCTTGATTTTGCCCTAGAACCCATTTATTTGTCCTGCCTATACTTCCAATCCCCCAAACCACAGTTTTCTCTGAGAAAGCACACCTATTTTTTTTGACACAACAAATAAAAACACTGCATGCTAAGAACCACAAATAAGTTTTAGAATCACAGATGACTCAAAGCCAAGATGGAGATACCTGGTTAACAGAAGCATCTGTATGAGCCACAGGTGAAGGAGAGCGACAGGCAGGTGGAGAAGAAATCTCACTGTTGGTTCCCTCTTCCCCTGACTCCTCAGTAACAGGTGACAGAAGTGTGTGACAGCGACCAGCAGTCATCTGCCATGGGAAATTCAGTCCCAAAGGACAGGAAGATTTTTCAGGCACCACAAAAAGTATTTTGTATTGAATGCAGTTATAACTATGGAGTTCTACCAGGACATTGTGTAATAATCTGTGCTTCCCACTCAGCCTTACAGAATAAGAAATCAGGACAGGGCTTCTGTCTCTAATAACTGTGTGGGAGATAAGGCACATATTTCCTGAGCTCTGCAAGACAAGTTACTCCTGTTAAAATTCCTTCCTTTGTACTACTGTTACAGCCCCAGGAATCCTATGTTCCTTTGCATCCTATCAGTTTACATACCAAACCTAGATTATAAAGCAAACGCAGATACAGGATATAGGATTGCGAATTCTGATTCTAAAGGATATGATATATTTTTTTTCAAAATTATCCATTACCACAAAAGAAAAACAGGAGAACAAATACATGGGGAGAAATAAAACACTTAGGCCTACATAGAGAAATACAGGAACATATCACTAAAGACACATATAACTTTGCTCAAGTTTTATACATTTAAGAAATAGAAAAGAAGTGGATCCACATGTAAAAATACTGAAGATGACAAATGTGTGTGGATGTATGAACAGACCCACACTCACATAGTGGACTTTTCCTGGCTTACAAATCTGTGTAGCCCCTCCCTTCTGCTCTGGAGAGTGTCTCAATACTCTAGTACAGATGAGGTGATATAGGGAAGATCTACACTGCTGACAAATGTTCTTTTATCAGTAGGCGGTGCTTACCCATAAGACCTACAGTAAAGGATCTGAAATCCTTTCCAAAGTTCTCTTTATTCGTGCATTTCCACTGACATATTGTGTAAATATTTTAATTGATTTGCACATACTGTACACAACATACAAAATTTTTTAAAAAAATCCTTCCACCAGTGTAAAAGTTTAACCATTAAAACTAATATTTCTAGCAGACTAATTTATTTCTAGCAGACCAATTTTATTTGGTAGTTCAACTGAATTATCTTATGTTTCAAGAGCTGAAGGGCCAAGTGAAGTTCTTGTACATAAAGAAGGATAATGGACTGCTTTCTGTTCTTTTCAGAAATGCTGCTTTATGAAGTGACAGCAACACCATGTGCCATGTCAGTGCATTCTAATCTGCAATGCCCAAGCAACTCATTAAACCAAAGAAGCAACACTGATCCATAACCACGTAGTCTGCATAATAGTGTAGGAAGTGATACTGTAAATGACAGATGCCTTACATAAATAGCCAAGATTAATATACATGCATTTCTTACCATAACTACAGAGGGGTGAGCTGAGTGGGTTGGGAGCAGATCTTCTGAATCCAGCTCCTCCATTCCTTCAGAAAGCCCTTCCACTTCTGTCACTGTCAACAGCATAGTAGCATGCTTGGCTTTCATTGTTAGCATCTTGCATTTGGAATTGAGAGATGCTATTTGTTCCTGGTAACCTTTTATCTTCTGTGCCAGCTCCTGAGGAAACATCCCCCCCACGCCCAAGAATCAGATGCAGCATGGAGAAGCCAAACAATCTCGCAACAATTCTTCTTCCGTTATACAGGCAGAGTCTAAAGAGAAAGACCAGCTTGCTTCTCTATGGTCAGCCAATAGAATCACAGCTCTGTGTTTCAGAAGCCCTACATCAGCAACAGCGGGAGCTAAACGGCAGGATGTTGATACTGGAAACAAGTCAGGCTGCATCTCACCACACAGAGAAACCACTGAGTAGAGAGAGCTATGCAGTGAAACCGGAAAAGCATGACGAAAGCCTATCTACCTCTGAATAATAGAAAGGAGTGTCTGGTAAACACATCTAATCTTGTCTAAAAGATAAGCAACTTTTGCACAAAATCCTACCTAAAAAACCATAGTTAAAAAAAATAAACTCTTTTCAGTCTCACTCCCATCCCCCTCAAGATAACTTGAATAAGCTGAAAGTCACTGGATAGTGCATGCCAGAGAAATGAGAACATGTGATGACTTGGAGTGTTTTTTTTTTTAAAAATACAGCATTCCCGTCTCATTCAGCTGGATACAATGAACAGCAGAGAATGATACAGAAGAGTATTGTGAACTAACAAACACCCTGGTTTCCTGTTTGCTTTACAGAAAAGCCACACAAATATTTGATATTTGGTTTATAATAAACACCCCTGGTGACAGAAAACATTGATTTCTGAGAACTATACAGAAAATGACAACAAAACTGGTTGGTTGTTGTCACTACCTTCTACAGAAGTGATAAGTGGTTGAGAATTGTCAAGCACATTGCATGTTTCCACTTTCAGCTAATAACTTGTATTTTCAGCCAAGAATCTTCCTAGTAACATAACATTTTTAATAAATTGTTTTTAATTGATTTGATTGCTTTTTATTTTAAAGTTTATATTTAAATAATTGTTTTATGGTATTTCTTGTAAACTTGTGCAAGATTTTTTTAAAAAATGAAAAGTGCTATGAAATGTAATATGTATGTAAATAAATAAATAAATAAATAAGTAAATAATAAATAAGTAAATAAACAAACAGACAGACAGACAGACATTAAAGTTTATTCCTTTTTCAATGAAGGTCAATATGTGCTCACTGATGTTCAATGGGCTATTTTAAATTAGAGAAGGATGTGCACTGACTTCAGAAATATGACTACAGTATCTGCTTACTCAATCCGGGCTATTTGTGCTATTCTGTAGTGACTATGGAACAGAGCAAGAAACCCTACATTGCCCATTCAGTGATGCACAGAGCTCTTATGTCCAAACATTCTTGATTTTAGACACAGAAAAATAAAATAAAATAAAAAGGCATGCCAAGCATGGAAAGGAAAATAGAAGCAGCTGGCACCAAAGGAGGAGGAGACTGATAGCTGATATCCCCCTGTCCCCAGATAGAGTCCAAGACCTCTCCTAGGCACACCAACCATTAAGTTACTAGCAAGGGCCTCTGTGCAAGGTTGCCAGGCTACCTTAGTCACTGTCTGCATTTTCAGTTGCACTGTAAAATGAGGAACTTCTGTCAGTATAGCATATTGCCTGGGCTTTCCTTTCCCCTCCTCTTTTAAAAAGCATTATTAGTTACATGTAACATGATAATTATACTGAAAATTGGCCAGAGTACCCTATTTTTAAAATCTTGGGCTCCTATTGGTTGGGAGGCTTTAGGGTCTGGACTGAATTAGATTCCTGGGGAAGTTCTTACAACAAAGGTTTAGTGGAAAAGGTAATCTTTGAAGTTATCTGTGTTCTGAAACAGACAAACACTGTTCCCATCATGCCTTTGTTTTAAGGATCTCCTCTTGAAACGAGTAATCAAGAGAAGCAGTTGGGCCTGCAAAGCAGCAGCTCATATATTAAAACAGTATTGCTCCCTACAGTTGTTTCTCCTGCAGTAAAAGACACTGTGGAGACAATGCTTCAGTTTTTAAAAAGTCCATCAAACAAAACATCAATTGGCATGACTTTGTGAAACTTGTGAAAGTAATGCAAATTCCAAAAAATCAAGTCCATGGTACTAGGAAATGTTTTGTCTTCTGATACAGAAAAAAGAAAACAAAGAAAAGTCTTTGTCTGCAAGGATACGACAAGGAAGGATTCACATCATTAGCATGGAAAACAAAAACTCATTTTAAGTATTGAGAGAACAGAGGGGAAGATAATAAGAAAGGGGAAAGTATATTTAATCTCATTTCATTTCTTTCTGATTAACATTTGCTTGTGTCCAGATAGTACACAATGTTATCACAACACTGAAGACTCCAACATTTTCTGGCTTCAGTCTTATAATATTATTTATTTGATTAATTTATATCTTACCTTTCTGCCAAATGAAGGCATTCATTATTTAGAGTAGTGAAATTTCAATAAAGCAAACATAATTAAAAGATAAAACCAAAAAGTGATTACTTCAACAAAATAGAAATCTCTAGAATATTATAATGTGTCACATATTAAACCAGTGGTTCATAATTTTTTGAGGGAATCAGAAATGGCATTGAGAACTTGTTGAATGCTCTGGCCGTGCTTCCCTGCACACAAATATCCACAAAACATTATAATTTATTAAAGGCAAAAGGGGGAAATCATGAATCATAGACCCATCCATGGACCCCTCGGGATGCATGGCTCATAGGTGAAGAACATTAAGCAGCTAATATTTTGTTTCAGTTTTGTAACCGTAACTTTATGCTATCTTCTTGTGTCCTTATTTGAATTATTCTCCTAGTTTTTCTTTGAATTGTTAACATTTTAACATTTTAAGTTGTATTAAAATACCTGAGTTGTTTTTATACTTTTAATGCAGTTTGCAATCTGCTGATACAGTACTGATTATAAACATATAAACAAGTTCTTCCACTATCTCTCATCTTCAGCTGTGTCACATTGCATTTTATTCCTTCATCATAATATAAGACCACTTCAGGTGTTGAAAACAGTGTAGAATACTCTATGCATGGATAACTACCCCACCCTGCTCTCCCCATCACATCCATCCTCCTCATACACAAGCTATCCCCTCGTATCTACAGAGGCTTTCCACATGATTTGGTACCCTGGAAAATCAGAACCACAGTTCAGATGGGGCGCTCCCATGGATAAGGGAGCTTTTCCTCTTCAGATTTCTCAATTCTCATGTGTAGGCATGTGACAACACACGTTATGGAGGAAGCAGGGCTAGGGCATCCCTCTACAGTGGTGTCGAACTGTGGCCCTCCAGATGTTCTTGGACTTCAACTTCCAGAAGCCTTCACCACCACCTCTGCTGGCCAGGATTTCTGGGAGTTGAAGGCCAAGAACATCTGGAGGGTCACAGTTCGACACCACTGCTCTACATGGTTTTTAACGCTTCAACAGAGCTGTATTGCTGATATATGTTTTGTATTAAAGAAAATGGGCCCGTATTTACTTAAAGATTTTATATAGTTAAAAGAAAGTTAAAATGAAGACCAGTCATAAGCTCTCTGTATTGTAAAAGAGGACACTGAAACTTTGTGTAAGAAGTTCAGGGTTTTTTTCCCCTCCCATACCCAGTAACCATGCCAATCTTTCCTATGTTTTCTAATAAATAGCAATTGGTTTTGTTTCATGCCTCAATCACACAATTCAGTGTTGGGAAATGCACTTTCTGTACTGAATCAGTGCTACAATTGGTAAACCAGTTTTGAGTACCTTATACAGTAATACCATGCACAGCACTGCCTCAGTTTGCATTGCTTCATACTGTACATGTGCCCAGAAGTCCGTTTTGTGCTGCTTGACAAGCGGCCTGATCTATCTCAAAAGACTCCACAAGGCATAACGTTAAAATGTTTAGTGTTGATTTGATTAGCGCTCTCTTTTTCTGAACCCATATTCAGCATGAAGCATAGTATTACTATATCTAAAAAAATCCTGAGATATCAACTTGATAATATATAATTTTGTGTAATATTAATTATAATTTAGAAAACCAAACACAGATCACCATTTTTTTTTACCAGCTCTCACAAGCCGTTGCCATTGATCATGCTGTGTGGAGCTAATGGGAGGAAAAAGGGCAAACATCCAAAGGGTTAGCAGTTTCTTGGACCAATTTAGAAAAGGAGCGGTGCTGGCTCAGACCAAAATCTGCTTGCATGGTGGCCAACCATTATAGAAATCACAGACAATGGGAAAGGCAACTGATTTTCATGTTTTATGTAGTACAAATGATCCTTGCACCACAGAGGATTGAGTATCAGCTGCATTACCTCATGGCGTGAAATCTGGGCTTGCAGTTCTTGAATGTTACTTGTTGAGATGGGCTTGTCCTGGATTTCACGATGTGCACTTTCTATCAATTGATGTAAATGCTTCATCTCTTGTTCGTATTGTTCATATTGTACTACTGCTTCCTAGAGAGAAAGATGGGGTGAAATTCACTATACATAATTTGAGCTATATAACCAATATTTTCCAACTTTTCAAGTGTGGTTACAGCGTAATTTTTAAAAATTGTTTTAATAGTTTCCTTGCCTTGTTAACACCGCATGAATAATGCCTATGCTGAGAAATAAATGCATAGGACATTTTAATGTTTATTCTTATGGTTATTGTGTGAGACTTCATACAGGGAGATGCCAGAGGCCAAACAGATGCTGCAGGAAGAAGCCAGAAACTTATATTTCATAGTATAGTTTGCTATCTGAAAAACTAATATACACACAATTTAGCCTGTTTTGGTAGGATGTTTTAAATATAAGTGGTAAAATGTAATAGTGAATGAAAGACTGGAAGTCAATCAGAAACTCAACATTCTGAGTCCATCTGCAAACAGTTAACAGCAGTTTGATAGCCATTTTAACCAGCATGGTTCCATATCACAGGATCCCAGGATTTGCAGTTTGCTGAGGTGCTTTAACTTATCCTCTAGAAAGTAATACTGTATCATACTCCTCCTCTGAACTACAGCTGGGAATTCTAACTCCTAGTCTTCTGTTGGATGGAGCAATGACCAAACATAATGCTATAGAAGTGCTATAAGTGTGTAGTACAGACACATTTTATGATGATGATGAATCCCAGAGATGAAAAAATAAACACAATATAATTAATGATAGAAACAACAGAAGGAATAGTAAAAGATTCTAGTTTGCAACTTATTGGATGTGATATAGACTCTTTTGAATATTTATTTATTTGAAATTTTCAAATATCATCTCTTAAACAGTTTGGATTGTATTGCAAGGTATAACAAATTATTCATACTGTGATAATAAATAATGAGAATAAAACAATAATAAAAAGCTACGAGAAAGCAATTAAAACCATTACCCAAACCAAGGCTTAGAGAATTAAAATGTCTATTATACAGAAATATATTAGCCCTGATGCTGAAAGATTGCAACATGGAAGCCAGGCAAATCTCTTAAAGGGTGGTGTTCCAAAGTGGGGGCACTGCCACTGAAGAAATCTATCTGAAGTTGTTTAACCATAAAAGACTTGAGAATGCTTCCATAGAAGACTGTAGGCAGATGGATATGTAATGTACACATTTCTTGTTGTTGTTTAGTCGTTAAGTCATGTCCAGCTCTTCATGACTCCATGGACCAGAGCACACCAGGACCTCCTGTCCTTCACTGCCTTTCGGAGTTTGGTCAAATTCATGTTGGTAGCTTCGGTGACACTGTCCAACCATCTTGTCCTCTGACGTCCCCTTCTCCTCTTGCGTTTAACACTTTTCTGAGGTGTCTTTTAATTTCGTGGCTGCTGTCACCATCTGCAGAGATCACAGAGCTGAAGAAAGTAAAATCTGTCACTACCTCCATATCTTCCCTTTCTATTTGCCAGGAGGTGACGGGACCAGTGACCATTATCTTAGGGTTTTTTTGATGTTGCGATTCAGACCATTTTTTGCACTCTCCTCTTTCACGCTCATTAAGAGGTTCTTTAATTCCTCCTCACTTTCTGCCATCAGAGTGGTATCATCTACATATCCTATGCAGTAGTTTTCTTTGTAGCATCAGACTTTCCTTTCACTTCCAGGCGCATCTGCAGCTGAGCATCCTTTAGGCTTTGGCCCAACCACCATTAGCTCTGGGGATACTTGTATTTGTCTTCCGCTCTTCCTTAGTAGCATGTTGGACTCCTTCCGACCTGAGGGGCTCAACTTCCAGCATCGAGTTTTCTTGGCAAAGATACTGGAGTGGCTTGCCAGTTCCTGCTCCAGGTGGATTGCGTTTAGTCCGAACTCTCCACTATGACCTGTCCGTCTTGGGGATCCCTGCCCAGCATAGCTCATAGCTTCTCTGAATTACTCAAGCCCCTTCACCACGACGAGGCAGCAATCCATGAAGGGGTAATGTACACATTAGGATATAGCAGTTTCCAAATCAGCAAGATGAAAGGCCAAGAAAACATGTTTAAACTTAAGAAAACAGTCCAGAAAATTTAAGAAAGAATAAATTAATAAAGAAGAAAACAAAAGAACAAATGATTCTTTTTTGAGAAGGCAGCTTTTGAAGAACACTTAAAGTGGTAGGCATACCATGCCACCTGAATGTATTACATCTGTTCCTACTTAACTTGCCTGCATTACGTTGTATTGCTGGATAGCTGTGTGCTGAAGATGACTGGCATCCTCCTGCAGCCTGAGAGCAGTGTGGCACATTGGGAGGCTTGTGACCACTTCTTCAGGAATCCGTAAAGCACTCTGACAAACTTGCACAGCATGAACCTTTGGCTTCAATGACTCCATTTCAGAAAGCAGATGCTAGGAAGAGCAAGAAAGGCTTGAAATAAACTTTTGTAACTGAAGTGCAGTCAGCACAAACATTAAAAATACCGATTAACACTACCAATATTACGTGATAAACTAGTAGGATATGTTCAAAATGCATTTTATGATTCAGTGTTTTTACTCATTAAAAAATTAATTTGATTCCATATCAACCGGCACTAGGATTAGGAAACAGCAATTCATTTCTAGAAAAGCTTCATATAATATTAAGGGACTAAAATTATTAGACTAAATTAAAATGCATTTTGAAGGAGAGTATGGGAAGTTTTGGAGTTTACTAGATGCCTTTTTTGGGGGGGATATGACACAAATACAAACACAGATTTAGCTATTCAGTGGATGGCTGAACAGCTAAACAGTTGAACAGAAATATGTATACTGAGTATTATTCTCTGAAATGAACTTTTCTTAAGGCATTGTGACAAAATCAAACCATATCAGATTCCAAACAGAATTGGTTCTCGCAAAGGTAGTGGTAGTGGACACTGGAGAAGGAGGAACCCACAGGTTGATGAAATCACTTCTGAAACATTATTGTTTTGACTGTTTAACTTGCTTGACATCTGTCTAGAGCAGACAATCAGGCACATGAAATGGCTTGGCATACTATTTCAAAAAAGGCTCAAAATATTAAATATTAAATACTAGTAGTCTAATGTTCAGCACTCAGTAAAGGAATACAATTAGTATCTTTAGCATTTTCAGAGATTTTAAATAAAATATGGCCAAATTAGATATTTCACAGCTGTCCTTTTGCAAAGCGTACCTCAGTGCTCTAATCAGCCTACCTGTCTGTGAGAAAGTTGTTCTTTCAGACTCAAACGGCCAATCTCTGAAGAGGTCAAAGTCGTCTGGGCTTTCTCTAAAGCTATTTGAAGAGCCTTTACCTCAGTTTCAAATTTCCTCATATCCTATAGGAATTCATTTTTTACAAAAACATTTTTTAAGAAGCATAAACACATCATACATACGTTAAAAAATATTAAACAATGGCATTCCTGGAAGAGATCTCTACATCTCCAGAGAACCCCTGGATGTCTAAAAGCCTTATAACATGCCTTTTCTAATAAACATTCACTCCATGTTCTGATTCAGAATCTGATACATGTGAATGAAATCTTATGTATTCGCTAACATGTTTCATATTCCTTTGCCTATAGAGCTTCCTCCTTTCTTTTAAAATCCTCCTGCAGTAGGAGTAAAGAAACCATGACCTGCTAGATGTTGTTGGACTACCCAACTAATGATTTACTGATGATGCTGGCTGGAGATGATAAAAATTGGAATGAGCAAGATCTAGGCTGACACCACTTCTGCGTAACTAACTGTCAGAGAAATAGAGGAACTTCATCTGTTCTTGGACCTGGTTCAGAAGGAAGAGATAATCTGACAGAACTAAAAGAGAAGACAATTTCAGAATTTAAGAAGAAATCTGATAAGACAGTGACCTTTTTAACATCAACATTCCTTATATTAATACTGAAAACTGTAATGCATGGGGTAAACAGGGAATGTATGCTTCAAAGAGGCATATATAAAACTCTGAAGACAAATAAGAACATTTTACCCTTTTAAAGAACCTTTAAAAAGGACATTTTCTCAAGGAACTAAAATTACAGATTCAAAAATATATCACTTAAAAAATTGTCTGCTAATTTGATTTATATTCAACCCCTTTAAAAGTTCACCAGGATGGCTTACCCCCCCAAAAAAGGTAGCCTATAAAACAAACAAACAAACAAACAAACAAATTAGAAATGATGACCTATAACACAGCTGCAATAGCTAGATATAGAGGGTGTTTCCCGTACCTTGGCAGCATCCTGAACACTCTGTAGCTGACATTTGATCTCTTGCCGTAACTCTTCCGTTTGCCGCCCAAGTTCTGACACTTGTTGAGACATCCCTTCCGTTGAATATACACTCGCTAGGTAATCTATCTTTTCATTCATAGCTTCAAGATCCCCATGAATTTCCCCAGATTCTTCAAGCATGGCCTGAATCACAGAAATCAGCACAAAATTGTTTTACATTTCAGACTTCATTCAGCAAAAATTTAGACTCCACGCTATTATTATTTTATTTCCTAATGGTATTGATGAATGTTGCATTTTAAAAAGGACCAAAAACATAAGCCAGGATTTCACTTAGATCACAACTAAATTTAAGAATGCAGTATTTACTTCTTACCAGTCTGGATGATACTATCAGAAAAAAAATATTGTTATCATCACCTGATGTGAATTGACTTGATCACGAAGCTGGGCAGAAGAGTTCCATGTGATATTGCCATGTATTAAAATATTAGCTTTTTCAATCCATTTCAAAATAAATTCTAGCATCTCAGTATATTCATCTAAATGTGTAATGGCCTGTAAACACAAGGATAATCAAGCTTACTAAATTGGAAACCAAAGCTGCTATATTGCTCCTTCTTGGAAGTCTTGCACATAAAATTATTTTTTTGTTTGATAACTTTACAGACTTAACACCTCCATTTACTTCACTTCTAGTTTCTTAACATTTATATTTCTCAGTTAAAATCAGTTTACCTGACATATTTGTATTATGCATGTCTTTTAATGCATGTGTTATGAGATGTACCCGTTTTAAAATTCCAGACAAAAAGAGTGGAAAAATAACGATACAAAGATCAACGCATAATTAGCTTTACACTATCTACCACCATGAATTATACTTATCTAACAAGGACAATGTAAGTAGCCAAACCTCACTGAGTACATCTAATTTTACAAAATTTACAAAAACAAAAGGAGTGTCGCCTTTTTGATGATCCAATGCCTTTGTTAGATCACTAACATTTTGAAAACAGACATACTAAACTTTTGAGTTCCGCTTTCCATGATGTTACATACAACTGAAATGGCGGAGGCATTGGCGGGGACATAAACCTTGCTGAAATTTTATATATATCTGAAAAATTATATATATATCTGAAAAATTTCTGACCCTTATTATCTGAAATTATATATAATTTCAGCAAGGTTTCCCATACGCTTTTAAGTACACACTGTCACAACAATAAGGGTCAGAAATTTTTCTGAAGCTATCTACGCTACTCAAAAGGTGTCTGTGTCTAATGTAGAGAGAGACTTTTAATGTACCACATTCTATTTGTCTGAACAAAGTTTGAGCCATGTCCCTGAGAATACATCAAGTCAATGTAATGACATACCTGATTCAGCTTGGATGCCCTGTACTCAGCCTGCCTAATAGTCTGGTGGTGAAGTGCTGTCAGCTTGCCTATCCTGCCAGTAAGTTGCTTTGCCAGTTGAGGATTCTGTTCTGCAAAGTCCTGGACAGCTGCATCCAGTTCTACAAGCTTTATGTTACAACCATCCAGTTCCTCACCCAGAACCTACAGTGGGGAGAAAATAATAATAATAATAATAATAATAATAATAATAATAATAATAATAATAATAATAATAATAATCATCATCATCATCATCATCATCATCATCATCATCATCATCATCATCATCATCATCATCAGGCCATTCTTTTCCTTCAATGTCTTGCTGCTATTGCTCATTTAGGCAGTTTTTGTACATAGGTAAGGAAATGGACTGGAAGACCACATTCCTCCACCAGGTTTCCCAGTATATTTATCTTCTTTCTAACCATGCAAAACAGAAAATATTGTTCACCCTTGACGAAATGTATACATAGCCAAATCATAAAGTCATACGGAACAATCTAGAACTGAACTCAAATCCCATATATGGTAAGTTGCTGACCATTGTTAATATTTCACACATGTAAACAGGCAGATGAAGATACACTCAGCACATTGTCAATTTATCTAGTTAAAAAGAATGAATATTTATCCCATGTTAAAATACAAATGGCATAAAGAAGAGTACAGTGTGTTAAGACTGCCATTCTCAAGCCATTTTTGAATTTCGCACATACAAGGCCAAGTGATCATTTGTTCGTGTCAGTGAATCATTACAGTTCATGGGTGCCGACTATTCCCTGAAATTCTGGTGGTAGGTACATTCCCTTCCTCATTCCATGAGCTGCCCATGCATTTTCGGCTTCTACCCCCAGACTATGAAACACCATCCTGAGTGAAATTCGTCTGGCGCTGACATTGATTAGGTTTCAGGGCCAGGTCAAAACCTTCCTGTTCCAGAAGACTTTTAATTGAAATATCAACTGTGGGTCCTGATGGCAATTTTTAGAATACTGTATTTTTTTTTGTATTTTAATTGTTTTATCTTTTTATTGTATTTAAATTGTTGTAAGCCACCCAGAGACTTTTGGGCAGTGTGGGCGGCATATAAATTAAACCAACCAACCAACCAGAGCTAAGGTTCTGGAAAACTCTCATCACCATATTGAGACAGACTACTGTATCTCACTTTTCACAACAGCAAGTCAGTGAGGTCCCCCAAGAGATCCTGCCGCTAATGCAAAACTGAGATACTAAGCACTTTTTTGTCACATTTTCTAAATTTTATGCAAAATCTCTATGAAATCTGAACACCTTTTCCTTTTATGAAGCTAAGACCTGTGCACAGCAAACATGACTGGACAAGCCTATTCATCACAGGAACGGAAACAAACCATTCAACACTACTGAGTTTATTAGTCTATGCAGCAAGGCAACAGTTACCATGTTTGTCAGTTTTTCACATTCCATAGAAATGTGCAAAATCTAGGCTAAAAAAAATTGAAATGCAAAATCTGTTCAAGATCAACATGTTTAACAACAAAAAGAAGATTAAAAACAACAGTAGCAGCAATTACACATAACCTCTTCCAGTGTGGAAATTTTTTTGCATTTTTTCATACCAACAATATTTACATGTCTAACCATAGAACATATATACCACCATCAAATTAACAGAATCCTCAAAAATTATACTTATTAATTGAATCACTTCATACCAGGCTGGTCCTTCCATTAGGCAGAGTGAGGTAGTTGCCTCAGGCAGCAGATTTGGTTATTAGGAGATGTCAGCAAACTGCTTTTTATTCATTATTTCTACTGCCAGGGATAAAGGCAGATTCTTTCTGAGTTTTGTCTCAGGTACCAACATAACCTAGCTGGCTACTGTGCACTTTGGCTTGGGAAGGGAAGTGTTGCCCAGTGCTCTGCCTAAGGCAGCACAATGTCTTGTACCAGCCCGTTTCGTACATTTGGCTAATCCAGCAGATTGTGAGAAGTCAGCTGATGCATTAAAGACACAACAACCAATCATCAGTCAACAGCACGGATCTTGAAACCTTGCATTCTAAGCCTATTTAAGAAGATACAGCTTCTTGGTAGTGTAATGCAGAAGAGTGATATTTTACTGCTCTTCCCTCTTCAATTAGATTTCATAAACCAAAGCCATAACATAATATTTCAGTCTACATTTTTTGGTCTGGATGACTTTTTAGAAACAATTGTTCTGATCTATACAAATCTTCGTTTTACCTTTTGATCCATTTTAGCTTGTGTGATGTCAGTTGTTTTTTCTTTCAGTTTCAATAGAATTGAATCAAGTTCTTTTGCTATCTCCTGAATTTTTTGACCAAATTCTTGGTTTAATGTCTTGCTCTGCTGAGCTTCTTTCTCTTTGGCTTGAATCTGCAAAAAGTCAAATTAAAAAAGAAAAACTAAAAAGAAGCGGCGACATATGTAGAATATAGTGTGTTCCACTTGGACAGCCAGAGACAGAAAAACAGATGGTAGAAAAAGATTAATATTGAACCAGACAAAACCAAACTAAACTCGAACCCAAAATCAAACATACATATATTAAAGTGTGGGATATTTCTTCATTTCAGTAAATTCCTGTGCTCTCTCCCTTACAGAAGATGTAATTTCATTCAAATGGGGCTGACCAGTTGACACCCAGGATGTGCTACTTTTGTTTAGCCACATAATTGTCTGCTAGAAAATGACATAGGAAGGACACAGAACTACCACAATGGCAAAATCAGTAGATTTGATGGGACTATTTTTGTCCTAATCGTTTTTATAGGATGTGCTACTTTTGTTTAGCCACATAATTGTCTGCTAGAAAATGACATAGGAAGGACACAGAACTACCACAATGGCAAACTAGTAGATTTGATGGGACTATTTTTGTCCTTATCATTTTTATAACACAACAACAACAACTTGTACATCAACAAAAACAACAACAACAACAACAACTTGTGCATGGCAAGGGGCTAGAATATGGGAACATAGTCTAAAACTGTGTTGAGAGTTACACTGTTGAAAGCTTACTCTGTAAGTCTAGTAAAGTCTGGATTCTGTAACAAAACATGATTTTGGGTGGGGACTTGAATTGTTCATGAGACTAAAGTTACAAATTTTCTAGGGTTTAGAATTGTAATGCAAAAATAATAGCGTTATGATACCATACAGACTACCAAACTGTTTTGGTACTTTACTGTGGTGTTCGTTCATGATCAAAGGTTAGTCAGGGTGACAGGGAGAAGAGGAATTTGCTGTACCCTATAATGATCCCATCACACATCTAGAGCCACTTCCATGAAGGGGAAGGAAGCACATGTTCTCATGTGCTGCATGGATGGAGATGGTTGTTCTTGCAGTCATATGATTATACCGTAATAGAATATGCAATATTACTTTACTTTAATTAGATTTATACCCCGCCCCTCTAGACCAGGTCCTTACCTGTTCATGTATATTTACGAGTGCTAATCCCACTTCTGCTAACTGAAGAGAAATCTCTGAAGGCAAAATGGTATATAGCCCCAAATATTTATTCTGCTGCTGTTCAGCCATTTTCTCAATAGCCTGACGGTGAACAGTTGCTTCATTCACAAGGGCCTAATTAGGATGCAGAAGATATTTAATAACATGCTTAGGAAAATCTCCATATATTATAGAGTTCCATACAGAAAATCTGTTTTACAGTTTTGCACATTCTAGTCTAGAATTCTCTACGATTACAAAATAGTGAGTGGAGTTCCATCATATTCACTATGGTGTGCCAAACTATGACAAGAATTTTGAAATGAAATATGTTTTCTACCTAGCAGTGTACAGTATTTTTAAAATTTTCATATGAAATACTATCCAAGTTAGGAATGACTGCAGTGGGACTCTGATCTCCAAGTAGACGGGCCCAGAACACTACTCATTTTTCATGTATCTTGATGCTGGTATATAACACTAGTTTCTGGTATATCAGTAAGCAGGTAATTTTACTCTCTTTTACTCTGTAGATGCTAACAATCTAAATGCACCTCAGAAAATATTATTTGTAAAAGATGACAAGTGCAGCAAATATTCGATGTTCTATTAGTCCTTTTTTATTATTATTAAAGCAGTGTGACACATTAAATTGAAAAAATCTGGAATGCTCTTCTTGGTAAGTTTCAACAACTACAACTACACCAAAGTGCAATGGTATTTTTCAGTGACCCTCAAACAATAGGATGCCCTTATGAACAATATGGGGATTTGCTGATTTAGTGGAATTCAAACTTCGTATTTTTAAAAAAATCTTTACACTGGATTTTTAACATTGCCAGTCTGCAATGCATTTTGTCAAATTATTCTGGATTATGTATTATGGTAGACTGACAGTTTTCAGTGGGCACCAAAACATTTAACAGCTGTAGTGTATGTTTGACATACCTGCAATTCCTCAAGTTGAATGTCTACTTCTGTTGTAGGATTTAATAAATATTCTTTGGCTTCTTGAATCCAAGACTTGACTTTATTAATTTCTTTTTCAACTTCTTCACGCTCCTTCAGTTCTTGTTTAACCACTTTTGCACTTCTTTTAACCTTTTGTTGCATGCTTAAAGAGCACATAAAATTAATTTTTTAAAGGATTTCATACATTTTTCCTTACAATGCTATAACCTATGAGGAAGCTAGTAATATTCTTTGGCATTTCACAAAATGATGGAAAGAGTGCAACAGTAGATATATTTTGTATTTCAAATATAAATAAAAATATCATGAGGGCTATAGTAATTAATTAGCAGTAATATGCTAATAGTGATAGAATCTCATTTCCCTTATTGGCATGATTCTAGGTATTACATTCAGCAGCAGGAAACTGTCAAATATTTACAGCTAAAGGATTTTAGCCAATGGGTTGGATCCAGCCTTTTTTCAGTCAGTGGGAAAATCCAGCTTGGAATCTTCCTGCTGCTGCGAAAGGGAGAGAAAATAATATCTGCTGATTTTCCCCTTCTAGTACCACTTCCTCTATTATTCGGTCAGGGCTCCATAATCACCTAGAGCAGAACTGTGGGAACATATGAGAATGCAAAGGAGGGAGGAAAAGATTAAAATCACCACCACCTTCATTTCACCAGCAGAATTCCTCTATCTCATTGGAAGTCTCCTGGGAACATATGGATCCCTTCTGGTTATGGGAACCAACCTAATATCTTTACTTAAAGATTTCTGTTTTCTTACTTATGGCATCTGTCTTGCATTGCTTTAATTTCTTGCATGATGGGCATTTGCTCTTGGTTTCCAGATGACACTTCTATATCCCGGAGCATGCTAAAAGCATGCTGCTTCAGAAGACCTAACGATGAGAGTTGCTGCTCCAGCTCCAAAATAAAATGACTGTGATAATCCAGAAGATCCAGAAGTTCATTTTTGGAGGCCTTTTCTACTGAGCTATCTGGTAAGCGATCTTGCAGGTGATCAAGAGTGTCTGTTGCCTTTTGCATCTATTAGAATTCAAAAACCATTATGATTAGGTTTCTTAAGCTTCTCAAAATATATTGTATAATCCTTTTCACATGCCCAGTGATATCTGTCAAATTCAGGAATGCAAATGCTTTACAGATTGTGCCCAAGTAAATTTGGTTTTTCAATCACATATAGTTGTTCAGGAGCATAGATGTCTTTGGTCCATCTTTATTATATGCACATTTGTGACATTTAGTTTTTACATTTTCTAGCAGTATACCAAATTTATTTTAGGAATCCCACCCCTCTAGACCATGTCTACTCTAGAACGCATCTAAAATACAATGCATAAGAGTTAATAATTGTGTTATTTAGTGTTCAAAATAGCACATCATTCAGTTTTTATATTTTAGTACTAGTAAGTCTGCTCTCACTCTGTAAACGAAAGAGGGTATATGGCTATCAAAGAGATTTATCAAAGGCCTGAATCAATGGGATTTATTTACTTCCAAGTAAAAGTGTGTATTGAGAGATGAAAAAAGACCAGGCTTCCTGATATTTTCTGACAAGGCACAGCCATCAAGTTAAATATTAATATTATACAAGCAAATAATGCATGCACGGAATGACAAATATTATTAACAGACACTTGGTAGGCTTGAGCCTTATACCTTTTGATTAAATGCATTCCATTTCTGCATTGATTCTTCCAGAATCCTCTCTTGCTCTTGGGCAACACTTCGGAGTCTTGTCCACCGCTGCCAGACCGTGGTCATGGACCTACTTATGGTTGCCTTGCTTGTGTCATTGCCTATTTTCTCCAGCTGGCAGGCCTTTTCTTCCAGTGATGTGATCTTTTCATGAAAAGAACTTACTACAGAAACCAGAGACTGAGAAAGCAAAAGGAAATTCAGTTTTCTTCTTACAATAAAGTTCTACAACATATGGTATTACGTTTATTTTATTGCATGGTTGAAACAAATGTTATTTCTGGAAAATGGATGCAGTAGTATCAGAATTATTTTTAATGCACAATGTAATACTATTTCACAGCTGTGTGTGTTAAGATTTGGAACCTGTCCTTTATATATTTTTAAAAAGATTTAATTCTTGCATTTAAAAAAACACATAAAAGCATCCTGTTTTAGTTTTACATTAAATTATGGTGAGTATTATATTGGCTAGTGACAACCGCATCAGTGCAATGGTATACATTGCATTAGCAAATTGCAGCTAGTTAACTTACTTACTCATTCCTTGTACCCTCATTTTACACCAGTCACATGAACTGGTACACAACAAGGGATACAAGCAACAACTTGTTAACCAGCAGCAATCTGTGTGAATTATACCATCACACTTGTGGCAGTGTAACTAAAATAACATGACAGTCAGTGTTGTGTAATGGATAAAGTGTCAGACTCAGAAAACCTGGGTTCAAATCCACTCACAACCAGGAAAACTGACCAGACAGTAGTAACAGTAAAGCACTTTCCGAACACCTCACGTATGCCAAGCCCCCTCTCACAATCTTATATAGGTTGGACAGGTTCATCTGAAGAACTTAAATTTTTTGTTTCTTAATGTTGCCAGAGAGCAGCTTGTTGCCTTCTAGTTGAAAAGACAGCATTGCTGAATCAGCTGTGCAAAGCTGACCTTCAAATGTGCACAACTGAGAGTTGAACAGGATGCTTAGCACAATTTTGGAAATGCTCCCTCAAGTCTTGAAAGACATCTATTTTTATAACTAGTTATATTCCCAAATTGTGCATCTTGCATTTAGCACATTTTGTTTCATGATTCCCAAATTGTGCATCTTGCATTTAGCATGTTTTGTTTCATAAAATACATCAATGGAAAGTTATAAGTTTAACTTGTGAATTGAGTGTCAAGACACATATCTCTGAGGAAATCCCACTGTAGGAGCAAAATCAATTAAGTAGAAGAATATACATTTTCCTTAGAAGCCTGAACCTCAGGTTAGGCCCAGTTCATATGCTATGTGATATGGTTATTGTCAAGAGCACAGACTGCATGGCTTCTATTTTCCATAGTAAGTAATTTGCATGAAATTCTTCCCCTGTAGCTCTGAGTGATTTTAATATTGTGGCACCAGCTGCTATACTTTCTCTATATATTCCTGATATATTTGTACATGTTTGAAGCATACTTAATTTTTGTTACTCAAATACTTAATGCCTGATTTGTTTGTCACAGAGAAGACCTGTGAGTGGACACAGATTTTTTTAAATGGTCATTGTTCTTTAAACAATGTTCCCACAAATATTTGTTAGCTAGTCTGCAAATGACAGGTAAAACATGAAGCCATCAAAAAGTAACTCTGATATTCAGAAGATATCCTTATTTTAGAGATTTTCCTTTAAAAGACCTAGTGAAGTATTTCATTTACTATTTTTTTATCAAATTTCTTTCATTTCTATCATGTCTACAAACCCTGTTAATTAAAGTTAGAATATACTTATTAACTACAAAAAGAAGGGTTGGGTTAAATGTATTCTTCATAAGTAAAAAAAGATACAGACTTTGTATTTTCACAGAAGAAATAAGATCTTCTAGCATTTCCCAAAGCTTTACCTTATGTGCTATTAATTTTTCTTCTGCTTCAAGTTTGGAAGTGGCTTTAGCTACAGAAAATTCAGACAATTTCTTCTCAGAATCATTCATTAAATCGATGACTTGCTGCCTTGCTATCTGATATTCTTCCCATTCGGAAGCACACCTTGAAAAATCAGAAATCAGTGAGAAATTCTCATGCATTAGGAGGTAACAAAACAACATACATAACCATAGATTATGTTACTGCTATCAAAGATCCTTATAGATTGATCCAATCACTTCTATTATTCTTAGGAATAATCCTAAGTGATTGTCAGGGTACTTCTTCTCCCCCCATAACAATGCCCTGACACATTTTTTTCTTCTAGGAAGGAGAACAAGAGGCTTGCTTGTTAGCTGTTCAACCTGCCCCTCCAACTGACTTTTATATCTTTCTTTTAAGATTTTTCCCTTTTTCAAATCAAACACACCAAAACAGACACATGTGTGGCCTTAAGACTTCCACAGAACATGCTGAGGAACTGATTTCTTTTCCATTTCCCAGAGGTTCCTGCTTGGAGCATACTAGATAAGTGACATAGGCACATGTATCACTTCTATTTTGTTTTGAGAACGAGAGGAGAAAAATCTTTAAAAACAAATACAGGTCAGTTGGGGACTCAGAAGGAGGACACAGAGGGTGGGGTAAGCGGAGAAGGTGGGAAGAATACACATTATTAATGCATAATATCCCACGTAGCCAGTAATGACAATAACAATGATTCATTGGCAAGGGAAGGACAAAGGGGTCCATCCATCCATCCATCCATCCATCCATCCATCCATCATATTTTTACTCAACCTTTTTCCTTAAAAGGACCCAAGGCGGTTTACATAATTAATAGATAATATAAAAGCTGACAATAGTGAGCATACAAATACTAGAAAGGATCAAACAAATAACATGTTAAAAGCAACATAAGCAACAACAAAACACATTCAAAGCAGTGTCATTCTGGTCACTTTTGAATAAACTATTTACAGTATCTAATTCAACATTTCTAAAACTAAAACAAAACAACAGCAACAACAAAAAAGTACCTTTGAAGCAATTCCTTCTGGGATTGTGCTTCCTGCTGTGATTCCCTGCTCTTCTCTTCTAAACCCTTCACGTTTTGCATCAGCTCCTCTTTTCCTGCAGCTTGAACAAACGGCTTCATTTCAGAAACAAGTGTCTGTAATTCTTCCAAATGCACTTGGAATTGTTTTTCAGTGCTGAAAAATTCTATATGGTGCTTTAGGTTTTCCTCTGAGTTTTCTGTATCAAGGCCGTTTCGTGCTAACTGTAGCAATTCTTGCGCATCTTCGAGCCAATCACTGGTAGTTTGAGCAACTTGGTAGTATTTTTGGCACAAACGATATAATTCATTCAGTTTTTCCTGTAGGTAAATAATGAAGCAACATAAAGACTCACCAATACACACATGTGTGCACAAATATAAAATTAGGGATGTGCTGGTATCTGGCAGGTTTGATTTCCGATGTTGATAATTAAGCTTGCTAGTATGAACAATGAGTCATCCTGTTGCGATTTAAGAATGGGCATGCTTATCCAAATGCACATCTGATTGTCCAGCTCACTGAATACAATAGATACCATCTGCCTTGGGAAGCATATTTGAATACCTGTCAGATTTACATGCGAAATTTAGAAAAGCAAGGTTGTTTGAGACACTGGTTCTTAACCTTGGGTTACTCAGGAGTTTTGGACTGCAACTCCCAGAAGCCTTCACCACCAGCTGTCCTGACTGGGGTTTCTGGGAGTTGCAGTTCAAAAGCATCCAAGTAACAAAGGTTAAGAACCACTGGTTTGAGACACCACATAAATTCTATGCGTTTCTAAGGTTATAGGACGAGAATAATATTATTATTATTAATGGTGGAGACTTCTGTAAGTGATTAAAAATCACAGAGCACAATTGTGATCCAACCTATCTTCCATGTCTTCATGAATACCAGCAGCTCCTGATAAGAAAGCACAAGACTGTTCAAGGTACAAGGAAAATCATATTTAGAAGGAGGCACTGAAGGTGTGTGTCCAGGAGCCAGGTAACATGGGATAAGGACTGTCAAGCACATATTGCTGACCACACAAGGTCATGCCTGCCTTTCCTCAGGACATGAGTCAGGAGCAAAAGATCCATCATCCCATATTTGCTTCCTTCTCCTCTACCTGTTGCATTTCGCCTCCTTCCTCCCACAGTGAAACAAAGCAGCCTTCCTGCCCATTATTTGCCTGTCTCGCCTCCCTTTCCTGATTCTCTTTGCTTCACTGCAGCACAGCACCAACCTCCACCTCCCCTCTGTTTAAAGCAGCACTGGCCACTCCCTGCAAACTGGCATTTCTTTACGAAGGGCAGGTGGGCAGCAGCATAAAGTGAAGCAAGGGAGGTGAGGGGGGAAAAGAGGGTGACGTCGTGGATATGCATCTGGATCAAGGAATAAGGTTATGGCAGTGTGAGGAAGGCTGGAGCAAGCAGTGGCAGCATTATGAACGAGAAGGGAGGGAGACAGCACTGACAAAGGCCCTCCAGCCATGGAAGGAGCAGCACTGTTGATCACTCCTCATGCTCGGCTTCTTCAGGCAGCTGCCTTGCTCCACCCAGCAAATGGACTGGCTCTGCTTTCGCACCAGAGTTTTCTTGTTCCGTAAACCAACAGTTTTCTTATACTGGAGGCTGAGGTATATCCCTTTATGAATTTCTAGTTCTGTCAACTAGAGTTTGGTCTAAAACTAAAGTATTCAGTTCTTGCATTTTATATATTATTGATATGCTCTTTAAGGTTACAGCAACCATTATGCCTACAATCTTATAACTATATATTTAATTTGAGCAGGTTAATCATGGTTATTAGACAATACATGCCAATCTAAGGCTAAGATTCAACTGCATTTCTTTTAAAGCTGGGTGAGAAAAAACAGGAAAAGACTGCGAGATGCACTGACCTGCCTTTTGCACATTGATTCTTGGACTTCACCAGCAAGTTCAGACAGTTCAGCCAGACTGTCTTCTAAGTCACCAGGTATCAACTCTTTGGCCTTCAAGTACTTCTCCTTTTCCTTATTGCTCAGTGCTCTCATTATTCTCAAGCTGGACTGGACTTCTTCCTGCTGGATCTGAACTTTACGGATCTCTTCTTGAATGTTACTCAGCTTTAAATCAATGTTCAGAGGGTCATTCAATTCCTCCTTGATGTGTCTCAGCCAGTCAAGTGAGCGGTGGATTTCTGTTTGGAAGTCTATGCTTTGTACCAGCCTGTTTTCACACTCAGTCATATTTGCATCAATGGCAGTATGTAATGCCTTGAGCATCTCTTGCCATGTTTGTACCTGACCATTTGCTCCTTCATGCACGGATGGATCAAGCTGTGAAGACAGTGTCTCAAGGTGTTCAGTGATGTGTTTTAGAAGGTTTCCAGCATCTTGCAGACTGCCAGCTAAGAAATGATACATTTTTAACTTTTCTTCTGCCGGAAGAGTTTCTTCATTCACTTTTGCTTGTTCTTCTTTTATAGAATTTAGCTGCATTTCAAGTTGCTCACACATGTTCTCATGTTCCTCATATGCTTCCATCATATCTTCCAGCTGGTTCACTTTCTGTTCTATTTGCCTTTTTAGTTTCTGAAACAGGGTGGTGAGTTGCAACATCTCCTCTGGTAACCACGGTTGCCCAGTACTTCGAAATGCTTCTTTCTTCTGGTTTAATTCATCGACGGCAGCACCAAGGTTTATGACTTCAGTTAGGATGTTTTTGTAATCCTGCTGGAGTGACAAAACTTCTTTGGCTGAAAGGGTAGAAGGAGTCTTATGCATGCTCACAAACTGATCTTCCAATTCAGATAATGCCTTTGTTGTCAATTCAATTAAGGAGGCATATTCTTTACGGGCCAAAATTGCTTCTTGCACTTTACAAAATTTGTCCTTAGCCAGAGCAGTGATTGTATTAAATTGTTGAGGCAAGGCACTAAGTTTTTCTTCAAGATAAGAACAATCCATTTCATTAAGTGATGGTAAAATCTCTTGACCATCTCTTTGCAGGTTCAGAAAAAGGTTTTCATATTCAGGGAACTGCTCAAGAATCTGATGATATTTTGCTAGTTGGGTATAAAGTTCAGAATTACCGTTCATTAAATTGATCTCTGGAAATGAAACAATATCAGATTGCTTTACCCAGTGGCACACTTTATCCAAATCTTCCTTGAAATACTTCCTTGAAACCATATGTTTTTCCAATTCTATTAGGCGCTGACCACATTTTTCTAAAATAGCATCATACATGTTCTGCAACTCTTGCAATTTATCTAATACCTCACTCTTCTCCTGCTCTGTTGCATCCTTCATTAGATCCCGCCCTTGAGACCACAGTCCAGAGATTTCACTCTGGTAGGCCTTAAGGCTGGCTTGTGCACTCTTGCAAGTCCTTATCTGTTTGTTTACATCTTCTGGAAATAGACAGATGTGTTCATGGAACATTATCTTTTTCTCATGTTGCTGAATTTGATTCATTGCCTGAAAGGCTGCCATGAAGAATTGAGTTCTTTCAGACAATGCCTTGTTCAGGTGTTTTCTCCTTTGTCCAACCAGCTCACTAAGGCAATCTACATGGTTCTGGGTATCTAATAAGCATTTCTGGAGCATCTGTCTTTCATTAAGCCCTAAGTTAGTCATCACCCTATCTGCATCCTTTATGAGTGTTTTCAAGACAAGCTGCTTGGCTTCCACTTCACTGCAAATGGTGAGATGATCCATGAGGGCATTTTGAGCAAGCTCAGGGGGTGGACTGTGTTTCAGAGCTTCAGAGACATTAGGCTGCTGTTCTTCTGCCCACTCCATTAGTTCCTGAAGCTTAGCCTGCACTATGCTCAGTTCCTCTAATGTGGTGAGAGATAGTTGTATTTTTCTCTTGATTAGGTCCTCTAGCTGGATCCAACGCTGTTCAAAATGTCCTGATTGTTCTTTTACTAGTTCTCTGTCATCTAGATTTAGGTGTTCTATCAACTTCTGCTTCTGGTCTTTTAAATCTTCAAGAGCAAACCGTCTCTCCTGCAGAGCCAATGCTAGTTTTTTCAGTGCCTCAAGATGAGAAGCTGTGCTTTCAGCATCTGATCTATTAAAACAACAACAACACAGCAATTAATCACAATGAACACAGGGGAAGGCATTTAAAGAGTGTCATCAGAACAAAATTCATTTATTTTCAACCATTTTAGCCATTCTTAAATCATTTGTGTATCAACTACTGCTAGATCCTTCTTAACGCATGGTATTTTATGAACAGACATGACACTCAAGTTCACTACTCTTTGGTTAAAAATATGAACCTTGGCAATTTGTGATGTTTCATTCAAGGACAATGTGAATATTACAACTCCGATATTGTTTTCTATAATTCAAGTTGGTGAAGAAGTAAGAATATAAATATTTGCTTGTCTCTGCAACATTTTTCTCCTTCCTGGTACTATGTTAAGTAATTCTGTAGGGCTTTGGACAGTTCTTGCATTTAGGAGAGTAATGCTTTGAACAAAATTGCCCATTTTTTGCACAAAACTGGACAATGACATGCAATTGGACAAACTGCCATAATTGCCCAAAATTAGGGTGACTGCACCCTCATTTGAGAATCTGAAGCAGTGGGTAGATTGTTTGTATATTATTTAATCCAGACCTCTTGCACTCGGTGGGAAGGTAACAGCGTTCCGTGTCTAAGTTGCATTGGCCATGTGACCACGGACGATCGTCTTCAGACAAAACGCTGGCTGTATGGCTTGGAAACGGGGATGAGCACCACCCCCTAGAGTCGAACACGACTGGACAAAAATTGTTACCTTTACCTTTACGCATCTATGTACTTTGCTTCCTAAAAGGAAAAGACAGTAGGAATATTTTGCCTGATTACAGAAACCTCTTCAACTGAGGTGAGGAATCTCATGGGGCTTTAAAGTTCCTCATGAAGGTATTTCATAGAGTCAATACTGTCTAAATTAATGAGAATAAGGAATAAAGTGAGATTTTTTTTCTGTCCCTGAGGAGGTTAGTTCTACCCATTCTTCTACCCACATGACCTCTCATCGCTGCCATGTGATCAGCTTACTACTCTGTCAGCAATGGAAGAGGAAGAAATGTCAGTTTGTTTATCTTTCAGGGCATTTGCCTGAAGGCATTAAAGGTATGGATGGAAGTATGCATGGAAGTGGTGCTCCACTCAAATACTGTTAGAAGTTCTTGCTTTAAGTGCAAAGGCCTGAGGGAAAAAAAGACTCTCTGAACATAAATGGCTTACAGACTAATTTCCCCTACCTTGCTAATTGGTCCCATTCATGGGTGAACTTCTCCAGAAAGACTTCTACCACATTCAGGCGATCATGATAATCCTTGGTCCTCTGAAGATCTTCCTCTCTGTGTAGCAGTACATTATTGGTTTGAAGGCAAAGATCCAACCAATAATTGCTCAGGCGTCCTACTTCCTTGTGCTCAGGTGACTCCTGTCCTTGGGTCAGTTTGCTGACCTTTTCAGTAACAGATGTCAAAGCATGCTGCTTAGACTGCAACTTCTGACTAAACTCCTACAGGAGGCAATATGAAAATGGAATCAGCAAAGAAGTATTTCATTCAGTGTATTTTAAATGCATTACAAACAAACATTTTTAATGTTTTTTTTTGTGTGGGGGTGCATTGCAAAGACATAAAGAAGACAGTGTTGCATTCTCTCCTTTCATAAGGCATCAAGATTTCTCTTTTCATCACAGATTCATAGGGGAAAAAAGAGGCAAGAATTATCTGAAAAGCCAAATTCTCCTGCTTGGTTCAGTACCAAAGTTGACTTGGGATGCACCCGTCCAGAGTAGTTGGTACGACTAGATAGGCGGGCTATAAAAGTAACAAATAAATAAAATAAATAAATATTTCCCATTGTCATTCCTCCCCAAACCCTATCTTTGTAATACCACTTCTTCTGTTTTCCATTTATTTATAACCAGGAGTATAGCCATTCCCTACATGCTCTCTCCTTCAAGTTCTATATATAATGAAAATATAGCCAGGAACCTGGTAGAAGGCATTACTCAAAAATGCTGCATATTATATAATTTATACAGTTTTAAACTATGTGTTGTATACAAATATCTGTTATGTAGTTTCCATGCATCATCTTCCTTTTTGAAAAACAAAACCTGGGTGGGGTATTTAGAGCTTAGAAATGGTTTCAGTCAGGGATCTGGGGCCCTTAATGTCTCCTTCCATGCTCCAAAATGCTTTTTGAATAGCATCTACCTGCCACTGATCCTTATGGAGTTCGAATGTATGCTCTTTATGCTGGATGATTTTGCACAGAGTAAACAATGGAGACTTAAACATTGCCTTCTGCCAGTTTATTGAAGTGGGAGGCACAGAAAACTGCATTCTCTCAAGCATAAAAGACAACCCTCCTTGCATTGGCTTTCCCACTCTACCACTGCAACACCTAGGTAGTTTGGAAAGGGATAGATTAGCAGGAATAGCTGACAGTGTGCTCCTTCAAGCGTAGCCTTCCTGTGTTTTCTCTGAAACATTTTGTGAAACATGATTCACAAACACACAGGATTACATTAATTATCAATTTTACTCAGTGTAGCATTAAGATAGTACACTGGGGTGCTTCAAAGTTTATTTTGCCTATGTAAAAATATTGAAAAGAATATTTAGGTTTGAGAAAATTGTCCTATAAACTACTTTCCTAAACTGAACAATGCATTACTCTGAATTATTTATCTTTTTATAAAAAGTTTTATTAATTTAATCAAAACAAGATGGCTTATGAAACAAGTGCTGGATGTTTACTATGTTTTTTAAAAATGGAAATAACCACAGACTTGCTGTTCTTTGTTTTCTAAGGAAGAATAATATTAATCTCAAAGAGCTTTCCTGTTCATTGACTGTGGCTGATCTCTTAAAAATGAATGGAATTGTGAAGGGCAAAAAAGATGTTAGTCTACCAGCCTTCCACCTTTCTTACAAGTGTACACAGATGTACAAAAAGGCTACTCCCAGCCACATTCTTTTTGCATACCTGTGCTTCATCAAGAGAAATAAAATGTAGAAGTGAAACTATGTGGAAAAAAGTGGCAAAACCAAAAATAATCAACTGTGAGAGGTGTCTCTTTTATTTCAATGACAGCTGTTCCCTTACCTTCACCGCTTCATCAAGAGAAATAAAATGTAGAAGTCAAACTATGTGGAAAAATGTGCCAAAACCAAAAATCTGTAAGTGAGAGGTGTCTCTTTTATTTCAAAGACAGCTGTTCCCTTACCTTCACGTGCAAAACCATATTCTGAGCGATGTTAAGTTCTAGCTCTGCCCCTCGCCTCCTCATGTTCTGCAGTTGCTGTTCGGCATCCTGGAAATAGATCCAAAGCTCTGCTTTCATTTGCTTGATTTCCTCCCAGCCCTGAGCAAGGTACTGAGAGTTCATTATTCGATCTTCGATCTGAAAAATGCAAGGGAAGGTAACGGGAACATTTTAATGCAATTATTTAGGGGTCATCTTAGATATACACTTGTACTTTATGTAGGGCAGACTTCTGCAATAGATTTACAGTAGAGGGCGGGGAGGGGCAAAAAGGGAAGGAGGATAAAGGCAGCTTGCGTAAGCCTCTATTGTCCATCATGCCTTGACGTTGTGAAAAATCGGAAGATATGAAAAGATCACAGAAACACTCTTCCACCCACTGAAGAATTTTGCTACAATTTAAGACTGGAGCAGGAAGAAAATCCCTACCATTCAGGGAGAAATAACCATTGGTTTAAGGATACGGTAGATACAAATAGATTTAAAAATGCCTCTCTCCTGCCTCTGCTTCACAAACTATTGTGACCTAAATGTTTTCTATGAGATATGGTGAGAAACTTAAATTTGTTTCAGTTTGTTGCAATTGTTCAATTATTTTGTCTCATAGTGATAGTTCTAGAATTCTTTTTGATCCAATAGGGATAATGAATAAGAGAACACTGTGTGATGTTCCTGGTAAGTCCAACAACGTTGCTTTGCAGAAAGCAGATGTTATATCTCTCTTCTATCATCTTAAATAACCCATAAACTTCTGCTTGAACAGGTAGGCTTAGACTAGATCCTAGAATCTGTACTATTTGATTCCATGGTAAACTGGAGTATAGGATTTAGTTTCAATTGGAAATGTGAGCAAAGTTATTTTGCCATCTCTAAAAAATTTAAATGTATAATGGTGTTGTTTTTACATCCATGGTTCACCTTAGCATCAAAATAAATCTGAAGTTCTATTTTTACTGCTGCAATCTGTTTATGGATTTGGATTTTATACTGTTAGATATAAAATGCAGCAGTAATGGAGAACCATGTCTGAATTAAAGGTGTAAACTTACTCAAATATGTTCTGATACTTTGCAAAATAGTCAAGTCATGATTTCTACAATGGCAATTTTTATACATTTAAAATGTTGCTTTTTCCTCCATTATAAACACATATTGTGCTGTAGATATTTATGTATCTATTGATGTGTTAGCTAGATATATACTTTTCTATGGAAGTATATAAAGTAATAAAAATGTACAGTAGCAGTACCCATTATGACCTTTGTGACAAAGTAAGATAATCACATGTCTAAGAAGGATTAGGAAAGGTCTGCCACAGTTTATCCCATACCGTTTGCTTTGTTAGTTGGATGTCTGTGGCTATATTTTTCACTGCGACGTTTGACAAATCACACATAGAACATAAAAGATCCAAATAGGTGCTCGCTTGTTCTTGCAGCGCTCTGTAATGCTTAACCTGCAGGGAATAAGAAAAGGTTATAATGAGAACATAGATTCTCACACTAAAACTGTATTCTTTTACAGAATTATCCGAAGTAATGAAAACAATAACAAAGATCATTATGATTACTTTTTAAATACGTTTTGAGTTAATAAACCATTGCAAATATTGCTAGAAAGCTGTAGTAAGTAAAAGGATCTGCTTTATTCCCCATATTCAGAGATGTTAGTATTTCAGGCTGCATTTGACTTTTTAAATAACAAAAAATCTGTTCATTTTTTGGAGATTAAACTGGTAGCTATTTATATGCCATTTATGCAAGTTCCACTGGATATTTTTTTTTTTTAAAGGCAACCGGACAGAATCCAGGTTCTTACTGAAGAATTAACAAGGGATTGGCTGTCTAGACAAACTAATTATTCTCCATCTGAACAGATTCATCACTGTCTGGCTTCTTTGTATAATTTCTTAATCCAGCCCAGTCTTAATAGCATTACTGTCTCAAGCTACAGCTTTCTGAGGGCCTGATCCAAAATAAGTGTCCAAAAAATGAAGATGCTATAATAAACCTTACATGTGCATTACATTGGATAGAATGAGATAAAGGATACAGCTAGATTTTATTACTCTCTATCTATTCCCAATTTCTAAATTTCTAATATTAGACAAGCCTGGAGAAAGCACAGAAAATGTCACTCTAGAAAAGTCTAACAAGTTAAATTAAACACTGAAATAAACAGTTGGGTTCCTTTACTTAGATTTTACACATGCTGGTAAGAATCCAGCTTGTGGAGTAGTTACTCCAGAATAATTTTTGCTGTCATTACTTCCAGGCATATCATATTGCACAATTCAATTGCACAATTGGTTGCGTGGTTCCTGTTACAACCAAGTGCTTTGTGGACAGCATTGCTTCTGCCTGGCAGGTATTGTAATTACAGTGACCGTAATATTGAGTTACAACTGCATAAGTACACAACAGGATTCCAACCATTATATGGCAAAACTGGGGTTTTTCTGTGCGACCTTTTCTTTCTGCTTTTTTACTCAACTATACAGAATGATGTCAGCAAAAAAAGTAACAACATACTCAGATAGCAATGTCTTGTGCTTAGAATTAAAATGTTAAGTGAATATAAAATGAAAAGTACGCATGTCGAAACAACATCAAGTATTTTGATGGTTAACATTCTTTTAGTATTTGTGTCCCACACGATAGTGTACTACCGAAGAAACAAAAGAGGGAGGAGAAGGAAAAGTATGCAAAAAGGGAGACATTTTCCATCAACTGCCCATTCTTTTATTAATATCTGACTTTTTTGTCTACTATTTATTTTTTGGTATTCTATTCCTTCTGCACAGTCCATTCCTTTTTAAAATGAGACTACTGCAAGGTCTCTGTTCAAGCATGGTCCTTTAATATCCACCAGTTATTTTCAGGAATTTGTTGTTATGAACTGATACCAAGCCTAAAAGAGTTTTCAAGATAAGTGAGATATTTAAAGAGTGGCTTTACCAGTTCTACACCCTGAGTGAGTGAGCTTCCATGGCTGAGTGGCCATTCTAATTCAGGCCTCTTGAGTCCTGGTCTGTCATTCTATCCACTACATCACAGTGGGTACTATTTCAGGAATCCAACCCCCTTTCCCCCTCCCCTCTTCCAAGGCTTAAAAAACCTCACATTTCCTTTTTGTTGACCCTGAACTCTAAGAAAGTTGCCAGCTCACTTAAAGGATTAACCCGCTTCATTATAAGCATATTTTAGACTCACGGATGTGTGATTTTATCCCATAAGCCACTGTGATCAAATATTTCTCACATGATCGCTTTTTACCTGCTTAACAGCATCTGCCAGACTGAAAGGTGGACGAGGAGTCGGCTTCAGCTCAGGTCGAACTGCCGAGAGCCAAACCTGGCATTGTTGAAGAGTATCTTGATGGTTGACATGCTTCTGGAGTTCATGCTCTAAACTCTGGTACACCTACAAAACAAAGTGAATAAGTTACTTCCCATTTCTCACAGCATTGATAAAAACTGGGCGTGGGTGGTGGGTGGGACTTGGCTGAGATGGCAGCGTTGCAAATTAAATTGAGCTTCAACTAGCCAGAAAAGATACGCTTTTGCAATGCTAATGAGTCAGAATCTGAATAATAATTTTCTAAATGTATGCTATTCTACTGAATGCCTTAAAATGTTTTGTTTTCCAAAATGTTTTATTAAACTGTAAGAATAAAAGTGACACTAGATAATAAGGTGGAAATGCACTTTCTCCAATAAACTTGTTTTCTCTTCTATAACCAGCTTTCGGCCTCCAGAATTGCAAATAAAGCACACGTTTATATTACAAATATAATCTCAGCTTGCAAAATGCAAAGTGCACTCCACCCTGAACTTAGAATACACAACTGTGGGAAATCATGTATTGTAACAAAGAAATATACTATCTCACCAGTTGAGGAAGAAAAATGTGCTACACATGCCATCTCATTGTAATGTATCTTCAAATTGTTTCTAAGTTACGGATACCTTAAAGGGTTTTATTGAGGAAAGTACAGTGTTCAAGGAATAGCTCACCACCAACGTTCGGTGAATTTCCAAGGCCAAGTGGGGATTTGAACCAAGGGCTAAAATTACACCATGGTAATAAACCAGTGAAAGTGTAGTTACTGTGGGTTAGCTGCAAAGTGGTATAACCCAACTTGAAACAGAAGCAAAATTTGCAGTGTTTTCCCCTTTATTTTAATCCAGTGTGTTGATACAGATGGTGGGACATAATATGGCTGGGTGCTTGTTCACACTGCTAATGTGAGCGTGTCAGAGGTTGGATGCCACTTCATATGACTCAAAAGTGGTGAAATCCTTCCATCCACCTCCTTTTAAATTTTTTCAAAGTTGTTTATGTGTAAATGCACTTTGTCACCAAGCCTGTGTATCTGACTATGTATATTAAAATAAACGAAATTAGGATGAGGGGCAGCACCCCTTTCAGACCACAGCAGAAATCCATGTTATTGACTGCAGTAGTTCTTCTGCAAGAGGTCCTGCCCTCCCCCCCCCAAGATTTCCAAAAGATCCACCACCTCTTCAGAGGACCATGACATACCAACTCCCCTGGAAGAGACATCATGTGCAAGGAAAAAAAAAATTTCTTCCATGGTCATGGATCTTCAGACGTGCATTTTAAACTAAAAAACAGAATCACACATCTGCATGTGTGAACAAAGGTGCATAGGAGGGGAAAAACAGAAGACACAAAGACATGGATAGAAATATATGACAGTTAAGTGATTAGTAAGGAGAGGCTGGTGAAAGCGGGTTGGGGAAGTGGTGGCAGGCAACTATTTGAGAAAAAGGGGTGGCTGTGTACTGCCCAAAACTCCACTCTACTACACTGGCTTTCCATGTGTATAATCTTTTGACATAAAATCAGTTGTATTTCTTAGTTATTTTCCATCTGCAATCAGTTGTATTTCTTAGTTATTTTCCATCTGCAATTGTATTCCACCTTGATGAATTTACATGCAAGTATTCCATTATGGTGCCCATTATGTGCCCCTCCACACTGCATTGCTTGTATTTTGTACCCTGTTACATCACTTCCTAAACATAAAGGGACTTACTCTCTGAGCTGTGCTACATATGGCTGAGTAGCTATCCCTTGTTCCCTGCAGCTGCGTTTCTGTATTTTGCTTAAATTTTGCTTGGAGATGCTCCGCACATTCACTGATCAAAGAATCCCCTTTGTTTTTAAGACTGTTCAAGCGATCTTCAAATCCAACAATTTCTTCCATCATTGCCTAAATAGAGCAATATTTAAAAGACCACAGGATATTGAATATTAGGAAAAAACATTTTCAGTATCAACTTCCATTAATATATATTTTTAAACTATAAATTCTGATGCTTTATTTTAAATTGTGGATTTTGAGAGTCCTCTCAAAACAACAACAACAACAACAATGAACATCAAAGCAAATGCATTAATGTACCTCTTCTTTTCAAAACAACTTCTGCATATTAGAAGAAATGTATTGAGTAAGGTTCTGGGTGACTGCAAGTCATTGTTTGCTATTGGATCTACTGTACTTGTTTCAAGCTATGTTTTACACAAACCATAGTTTAACTATAAACTAGGATCCCAAACATAATTTGATCCTTTTTTAGAATCACAATCTGTGGACCATTTCAGATGAAATGGAGAGTCACAATGGATAGGGAGAAGTAATGTGTACCCTTCCTCACAGGTTTATGTAAATTGATTTAGGGAATGCCAAAATGAGACTTTAGTCAGGGCACTTACCACAGCATAAAATAATTAGGTATGTGTAATCATTTAAGAGTGAGGAAAAATCTAAAAGTACATATGGGGTATACATATGAAACTTCATTTTTATTATATCTGTGAAGATTCTCTGTCATCTAGCTGAGTCATGGCAACTGGACTTCTTTCTTATTAGGTTGAAATGTTTCACTACTCATCCAAGTAGCTTCTTCAATATGAGGAGAGTTGGTTGGTTTCTGTTTTTTTTTTCCTTTTATCATTCCATCCATCCATCCATCCATCCATCCATCCATCCATCCATCCATCCATCCATCCATCCATCCATCCATCCATCCATCCATCCATCCATCCATCCATCCGTGCTATTATCCATGGTTTTCAGTATCCACTGGAGTTTGGAACCAATCCTCAGTGGATATGAGGGTTCTGCTGTACTTGTCTTTCTGCTCCCTAGTTGGTAATAGAAAAATCCAAACCAGAGGTTTGAAGAAATAGGTCTTCAGCCTGTGGACATTTCCAAATATGGAGCCAACAGACCCTCAAAATGAGGGAAATTTGTTCATTTGAAAAAAGTATTTCACCAACATTTTTACTGAGGTTTTCAACAATATATGATGCTGTGAAAATATTTTCAGCCTTTCATGAGATGAGGATACTTTCTCTTCTTAAATCTTATGCCTGCATAAGGAATAATAATTCAAAGGAATGAAATTACTGCTACTATGACACTTACAACTCCATCAGTGAGATACAGAAGTATTCAAACCTTTTGTAGTAATAATAATTGTGTTTTGTCAAGCTGGTTCTGATTTATGTAACACTTTCCCAGAGACAGAGTACTCAGAAGTGGTCTTTAATTGCCTTCTTCTGTGGGCACTCTGGACATTTCACTTATCTAAGACTAGACTTGGTGGCTCTTCTCCTGGGAGACACAGTGGTGACTCAAACTGCTGGCATCTGGCTTTGCAGTGAGATACCCAATTCACTGAGATATCCAGCCCTCAAATCATTTCTACTGGTAAATAAATTAGTAGAAACATTTATTTTACTACCATTTGTTGCTGCACACTGAAACTTACCTTGTGATTGGCTAACTGCTGTGTTACAACTTCTAGATTACTGTTTTCCATAAGATCAGGAGTAACCAGCCTGCTGGACATTTGTAACAACCACTTTTCCACTTCTTGTAAGTCATTATTATACTCTTCATGCTGCTTTACTTTCACCTCCAAGCTTGCAACATAGGTCTGTGTGTTCATAGAAAACAATAACTTTTTAAAGATAGTTTCAAACGGCAATTTCAAAATATACTTTAGAAAGGTACAGATATTTAGGTCTCCTTTAAGAAAATGCCTCAACTGAAAACATCATTTTATGTTTTATTATCCCCTCTCCCCCCCCAAAAAAATAATTGGTTTGTACTTAGAACTAGAACAAATGCTTATGCAGGAACACTGGTGCTCTGCTGTTAACATTACAGAATGACTAAACCCAATTAGGAACCATTTCATACATGAGATATTGTCAAAAATGATTGTTATTGCTAAAATGAGGTCAATGCTTCTTGGACTATCACAGGCAGGATCGTATTCCTAATCAGTTAAGAGAGAGACAGTTATCTATCTATGAAGAAAATATATATATATATTGAGGAGAGACCATGAATAACCATACTATGGATTGCAAAGTATGCGCCTTTATTTTTAAAAATAATTTAACTAAGAATATACAACAACAACAACAACAACAACAACAACAACAACAACAACAACAACAACAACAACAACAACAATGATAATAATATTGATTCCTATGTCAGTAGAGGGCACAGGAGGACTTTTTGACTCTCTGTTGTTTTCCATATTAAAAACCATTTGGGATGTGGTGTGTGTGAGACACCACACTTAGGTCCTGCTTTTGTATACAGGGGGCTGCATGCAGTCCAGAAGTCACCTATTGACCATCCTTTGTACAACAGACTCAGAGATGAAAGTCAAAAGACAAGAAAAGAATCCTGCCTCCTCAAATGAATTTTTTTCCCTCCTCCTGGAGTGGCTCATGATGCAGGTCAAAATTCATTTACTTTAACAATTATTTATCAGCTAAGAGCAAGAAACATATCCTTTGCAAATAATCCCATAGTTTTACCTTTGCTGTGTTGCAGAGCTCCTGAAATTCAGTCCAAAGTTTCTGAATGTTTTCTGCTACATTGGGATCATGCACTAGTTCAAGGAGGGAATTTCCTTTTTCAGATACAGATTTTATTGAAGGTTCATGTGACAACACAATCTGTTGGATTGACTAAATGAAAAATACAGTTTAAATGAATTTAGACTGTAATAACATGGAAAATAGACAATCATCCTTTTGGGTGTAGAAGGGTCATACCAAAACCTGTTATCCTTAACATGTGCATTTCTTTTAAGTATCTTGGAACAAAATACAGCAGTTTCTATTCACATCAAGGAATTCTTCAGAAAAAGCCAAATCTGATGTGAGTTATATTCCAAGTTCTGTTCCTCAGGTTTTCAACCACAGAAAACTGGATCTTTCAACCACCTCAGCATTAAATTTGTTTTTAATATGGATAAACTGTTCAATCTTGCAGCATTTTAAATGGTAAAAGAAACTATCTAATAGTATTGTTTACTATAACATAATGTACAAAATCCTGTTCAGTGCAATAAATTGGTGAGTAGACTCCTTCATAAGTTGCCTTGATTCAACTTATTACACTTAAGTAAGTCACAGTTAGAGTAGGCTCATTTGAATCAATGGAATGCATATAGGAGTTGACTCAGCAATCCCCATTGACTCAATGAACAATTTACTATACAAATTAATAGGATTTTGGTCTTCTGGTTTGATTCAGGAAAGTAAAAAAATGCAAAAGTGGCAAAAAAAGGGAACATTTGATTATAGACTATATTTGTGAGTCTCTGGTTTTTGTGTCAAGGTTTCAGCAATAATTCCTAGGACTGTAAAATGCCTAAAACTTGCCAAGGATATTAAGGAACTTTACATGTATGCATCATGGGGTCATATCCTCCCAAAAAGCTACATTATTTGATTTTGATTTATTTAAATTTATTTTCATTAAATCGTATTGCTCTGTAGCCTCCAATATAATCTTTAATCACTTGGAAGCAGTCCTCCATAAACTTACTGTATGTGACTGTCAGACATTAAATTCAAGACAGTGTTTATAGGCAGCTCCAAGTAATGCTTCCACCTGCAAGATGCCCACATTCTTCAAAAAATTAGGATAGAATGAAAGAGACTACGTATATTCTTCTACGTGGCAATGGGGCTGAGAGGGGACGGCGGCTGGATGAGCATTGGGATGGATGGAAAGAAAGACTATCAAGAAAGAATAAGAGTGAGAGGGCAGATACAGAAAAGAAACGGAATGCTTGATGGAGTAAGGTAACGTTGGGACCAAGGTGTTTTAAACTATGCAAAGCTTTGTATGTCTGTAAGTCAGAAATTAAAAAGTTCAATAGATTACATTTCAAATACTGTATTAAAAGGCCTTAAATCAAGATAGCACAATTGCAGTGCATATAAACAGTGATTTGCCACAATTCATCAAATTTCCTTCCTTTGTTATCTGAACAGGACCACAAAGATGGAAGTACTACTACTGGCCTTTTACACTGTGCTTTGTTTAGTTTCAGGACAGAAGGATCAAATGCTGTGCAACCCAGCTTCATCATGAGTGCCCACAATTCTGCAGGGTGATTGGCTCGTCTCAGGTGATGAAGAAAGTCCCCATTACTATGGTGAACATCATGGCCGACATGACCAGCACATGGCTCTCCATAGTTAGTTGGGCCCTAAATGTATATCACTGAGGGAATCCTCAAATTTAGGTAATGTACACAATTTGCTTTTGGAGATCACTCATATCACAGTCAATCCGCAATGCTTCATTTTGTGAAGGATGCTTCAGGGCTGGGTATCTGGGCCAAGCTAACTTTATGAAGGGTAATGACAGTTGCACTGTTCTGCCTATCCTAAGTTTTGCTCCTAGAGTGAGACAGAGGGCAGGTGAAACAATCCTTCTATCTAGTAATGGGGGTGGGAGGGGGTGGCTGGCTGGCTGTTGCTGTAATCAACAACAGTACATCCTGTTCTTATATTTAAACTGTCACATGAGATTTAGATATTGCTACTTCGATAATTCACTCACAATGTGTGTACATGACTAATTAGATATTTAAAAACTTTGTCTTGAAGAGCTTTATCATATGTCTTCTAATTGAAAATGCCATTTTAAAATATATTTTTTATTTACCTTATATTTGGATAACTGTGCCTTCTTCTCATATAACTCCATTTTTGGGTCCACAGTTGCATGCAGTATGCTCTGATATTCAGATAGCCACTGAGTCTGTACTTTGTACTTATCTAAGAACTCCTTTGCTAAGTGCAGACACTTCTCTAAGGTGGTGTGTTCTTTTCTGAGAGAGCAAGCCATCTCATCAAGTCGCTCCACGCAATCACTGATCTCTTTTTTTAACTGTTCAGCTTCATTTCTTTCCATGAACTTAACAGCTCGCTCTCCTTTCTCACGGGCAGATTTCAGCAAATTATGGCCAATATCCATGTCATTCATGAGATCCTGTAAATAGAGATGTGAACAATATATAACACTTGAGTAGGGTCAAACATGCAATTCCTGATTCGGGTACAGTTGTATTTCCTTTTCTAGAGACTTTCATCCCAGTGCTGGAGACATTAGTTTCTTCTATCACATCTCACCTTTTAAAGCCAAAATAGGAACAAGTCTTTGGCCACACATGAACACATACCACAGTGCAAGGAAGGACCTTGGACGGCTGCACCAGTTCCTGTTACCAACTGACTCTTCTTACAAAATCGGGGCAGAATCTGAAAAAGTCTCCTTTCATCCTCTAGTGGCCAACCAGAATTGAAGTGTTATTCGCCAGACAAAAATATGAAGAAGCAATTTTATCAGAAAAAGAAAGCCTGGAATCCGCTCTTCAATAAGGTCCCAAATCCCTTGTACTATCTGTTCATTATTTTAAACATGATTTCCAGGAATGCTGGTGCTTTGCCTTTGTTTTTAATTGTTCACATGAATACATAGCGACAGATGCAAACTTCCTATGAACTGTACCTCAAGCTTCTGCATTTTTTTCTCCATTGCTGCTTTATCTACTACATCAGATTTTGTCACCGCACTTCCACATTTCCTGAGAGCAGCTCCAAACCAATCTTTGTAAGCACTGAAAGCAAGGTCTGATTCCTCCATACTTCGAATTTCTTCCTCAAGAAATTTTATTTGCTCCTGCAAGGAGATTTGAAACAGAAGTGAGATAGGCCATTTATCTATTTTCTAGTATATGCACATCTATTAGTGGGCTACAAAATATTCCAAATAAAAAATAGATTAGGGAGATTACCTCTTAATTATTACTAGATTATTCCTGCTAGAGACAAACAAAAACATCAACCTTCTTATTGTACTAGAAGTGTCTGCTTAGTGTAATGGAAGGATGAAACTAGGTAGTGCTAACAGCACTAGCAATTTTTTTCTCTGTCATTTTTTCTACTCTGCTACTTTAAGCAAATCACACATTATACACAAGAAAAGGGGCTCTGTACATTGAAAAGCTAGTTAAGTCACTCAGTTGCCTGTGACCATAATGTTGTATATGTCACATGAGCCTTGCAGAGAAAACCTTTGCATATAGAGCTTTCTGGTTGAGTTGCAAAGCCCATCATACAGTTGTTCAACACTAGTGGAAGTCTATGTGAGTAATCCCCTGCTCATACACACATATTCAATGCATGGAAGTAAGGGGCATGATCAAATGACGGTGTAGCCTCAGAGACATTGCAAGCACTGTGGTCTCATGACCCCAAACACGTTCTCAAGTCTCAAGTGAGCTGGAACAATGGACTACACACTCCTAGTCTGAACCAAGAGGTAGGGAAATGATTTAATAGCTGTAAATGTAATTACTAAGAGGAAATATCAAGAAAGGTGTTGGCACAAGGCAGGAGGGGAGAGATAGAAGGGGGATGAAGAAGCTGATAAACATCTGGGGCCCCACCTATCTTTATCTTCCCCATCCTTTTAAGAATAACATCCTTTCTCTGTTCCCTCCTCTCACTTTGAGCCACCCTTTTAATTGGTTTTGGAATTTTCTATAGATAATTATTAAGGAAGAAAGACTATATTTTATTTAAACTTTTTTTACTGATAGTACAGGCCAGGTACCATGTCTTTAAAATCAGTGGCAGCTTTGTAATTAACCATGGTATCCCCAAGGACTATGCACTTCTGAACCACTTTATCATGATGGAAGGAAGTCTCCTTTTCAATGAATGCTCTGTAACAATGTTATTTTCTTTTAAAAGTCTCATTACTCACCAGCACATGAAGAATAAGAGCTTGGTAGCGAGATGCAAGGTGAGTAGCTTGTCTCCCCATCTTACTAGAAGTATGGCTTTCTTCCAGGATTTGCTGGGCCAACAAACCAACTTCCTCTACTTCTTCTTTGTAGACTGTTATTTCTTCATGCCATTTCTGATGGGAGCAAAATCATCTTTATAATGTAAATGTGGCTGACAATGAAGAATGAATGGAAACAATAACCTCTTTCTAAAAAATGAAGTACTTATAAGCATGTATTTGTGGATATACAATATTTACATGACAGGACCTCACTAGACAAGATGGTGATCTCATCTTTCTTACTCTTTTTTTCCTAGCAATGTAATCTCCTTTGTGATATCTGTCCCTGAAATTAGACATAGAAAGGAAGCCAGTGTTTACACTTCAATGACAATTCCAATTAAACTAATGCTTCTATTTTCAACTTATTTTCATAATTACACATCTTCTGCCATTTGAAAGGGGTATTCCAGATATAGAATAAGCATTTCAGCCATTGACGCACAAACCCTTTTCATTTGCTAAAACAAAAACAAGGGCGGAAACAAATGAAGTAGTATAAAAATAAATTCAATGATTGATAAAGATTATCAGCTATATAATCAATAATTAGGTTAACAACAACATATTTTTCTGAATTTGATTTTCTCTTCTCTCATACTTTTTACATTTTTTCTGATATGTGGAGTTATTAGGAGAAGAAAATGTATAGATTTGCTATGAAAATATTGATTTGTAATGTATCCATTCAAATCCAAGGGTATCCGAGGATATCCCTGTCGCAGCTGTCCCCACCCTTACCCCACCTTTATAGGGAGAATATTTTTTTAAAAGAAATAAAATTAATTCAAATTAAATTCTAATTAGGATTCTACAACTGGAGTAATGAAAACTTTGATGGTGCTTTTTGTTAAGGCATCATGTTTGTTCATACCCATTATTCATGAGAACACCAATCAGATATCCTACATGCACACATCTTTCACTTCCTAAGTTCTTAAACATTCACAAATTGTTCAAAACTCACACATAAGCATACTCATGGATTTATGTACACACCTATCCCAAATACATTTCATTTACCCATTACACCCATACATTGCTAGCTGGTCAGCACGGTCTCTTCATGTCTCCATCCTCCTTCCCTCCAAAGCCTACTAGGCCTAACTTATCTTTGGATCAGAACATGAAGAACCTATCAACAATCCCAGCAGCTTTCTGCACAAGGAAAACTATCACACTAAAAAAAAAACTAACTTTCTAATATATGTCCAGAATGCAGTAGTGGAATTTGTGCCAGGGATGTGCATACCTCACCCAGCCTGTCTGCAAACTACAAGGTAGTTAGCTGCTCCAGTATTAGGTTTTTTTATTTATTAATTTATTTTATTTGGTTAAACCTGTGCCCTGCACATTGAGTGGACAAGCCATTACTCTGGGCAGCTTCCAGGATATAACAAAAAGTTCACGCCAACCTTATGGTTCAACAAATGGGTTTTTTATTTTAAGTTGAGCATATAAGAACAAAAACCCATTTGTTGAGCCACAAGGCTGGCATGAACTCAACACAAAATTAATATTACAAAAGGATGAGGTTTGTGAAGGCTTACGTAAAAAGTCAGGTTTTCACTTCCTTACAGAAGCTTGGGAGAGGGGGGGGCAATCGCACCATTGTGGGGGAGGGGGAGTTCCAGAGTGGGGCAGCCATTACTGAAAATAATAATATATAACTATTTCTATAATGGTTCACGTGAGGTTTTTTTAAAGTTTAGGAATATGAAAAAAAAGGCACAGATTGGAAAAAGGACAAAATGTCAAGATGTAAAAACAACTCAGTGCTCATAGTAAGTTGGTGGGCAAGCTCATTAAAACAACTGATAATTGTTTTTTAAAAAGCCTGCAGATAGCAAAGTTACATATTTGTACACTAGACGATTATGAAAGATCATCATCACATAACTTCATCACCTTCATTTGCTGTAACTGCATCTCTTTTGTAGCTCTGTCTGACTGCCGTCCAGTCCTGATATTAACTTTCTGTTCCAGAGTTTGAAGCCACTCATCCACCTTCAGAAATTTGCTCTCCATCAGCCTCAGCCTGCTTAGAGTTGTGTTTAATTGTGTCCTGATCTCAGAAAGCTTATGTTGATAGACTGTCCAGTCTTGACGTATGGACTCCAATACCCTGTCTTCCAGTTGGGGTACACCCCATGGGATTACTTCTTCCCTGACATGGAGTGCTGCATTAAGCAATGTCTGTCCCTCAGCACATTCTATCTGTAACTCCTGGAAATACAACATTAAGAACATCATTTATATGTTCATTCTGTATTAGAATTCTAGATTGAAATGCATTAGAAATGTGACTGAAGTAGTTAAGTAGAGAACAGCTGGTGAAACACTGGGCTTCCCAAAAACTATGTATGACAGACTCAGAGGACTGCTTACCTATACCGAAATAGGTAAGTTTATCCATTAAAAGAAAAATAATTGCTTAGCTCATTCTCCCAATCAGTGTGACAAGGAATGATGAGCTTGTAGGATGTGCATTTGGCTCATATATCAGGAAGAGGAAAAACAGAGAAAGAAGTTTTTTAAAAAAGTTTTCTCTTTCTTCTCTCCTAAACTCTCCTTGCCCAAAAGCCAGAATCAGATATTAAAACTCCTATTTGACTCTTATACTGTTTTGACTATCAGGATATACTGCAGCATTATTCGTTACAGTTATTTCTTATTAGGGCACTGTACATAGATTAATAAAACGAACAAATCTCTACCTGGATCTCTCGGAGTGTTGCTTCATGTCTCTCTGCATCTCCTTCAAGGTGTGATGAACAGCTGAGTTTCTCCTTTTGCTTTTCTAGCCATAGTTCAAAGGCCTTCAAATTTCTTTGGTATTCTTGATGCAAATGCACCATTTTTTCAGCTTTAGTTATGGTCTCCTGTTATTAGAAATACCTTATTAGAAGTGAAAAGACTTTTCTGACACATGGGAGCTATGTAATGTTGGGTCCCATTTTTAAGGGTGTTTAAGGAAAATCTGCTAAGAGACAAGTATTCTAAATACAACGTTTGATTTAAACTCCTTGCCACCTAAAACTAAGAGGAAGATAAAAATATTTCCAAATATTATGACATTCCTAAGCAAACAAGTAATTAGACCTCTTTAAAAGTAACCTTACTCAAGGAAACATTGGTAGCATTGTCAAATAAATCAGTACTAATGGCAGTGGGATACAAACTGAATCAGTCAATCAAACAATCAATCAATACCATTATCCTGTCTTTGAGAAACTGGTATCTCTCTTGAAGGTCTTGAAGTTCAAGCTGAGTTACATAATGTTCAGTCATGCCCAGACCTTTAGTTTCAATTGTTTCCAACAGTGTATTGTGACTAAACACTTCTTCCTTAAGTAACTGCAAAACACAAACATCAAGTTAACAAAATCACTAAGACAACGGAACCGAGAATTGTGCATTTTAGCCCATTTCACATCAGTGCCTAACCATGGGAAATAAGAAGGGTACACTATACCAGGGTTCATGGCTTCTGGCCCAAGCTGCAAACTCATCATCATAACAAGGGAAATGAGACTATGCTAATCATCACCATAATCACAATAATTATAATAATACATGCTGTCATGTGAATTCTGACTTGCGGCAACCCTTTTCCATGGTTTTCTAGGTAGACAATACTCAGGAGATACCTGAACCACCGAGCTATCCAGCCAGATATCATTTTTTCAGTATTTAAGGACACCTATTTGCCTGGACTTGTGAGTGTACTGTAGTGCTCTACTGAACCTTTAATATCTCTTTTATTCCAGAAGATAGGAATAAATGAAGTCAATAAATTATGGAAATAACCTTTAATATCTCTTTTATTCCAGAAGACAGGAATAAAAAGAACTGTCAATAAATTATGGAAACAAATAAAAGAGAATTTCCCCACTGTGCCTCCAGCAAGAAGGGGCAGCCAGAGACCTAAACCACAAAGCTGTCAAGCCAGCTATGGATCAATCAATAAACAGGCAAGTACATTATAATAAGCTAAACACAAGGTAAGAGATAGGTATCTGGCTGCAGAGCCAGAGGTTGGGAGTTCAATTCCCCACTGTGTATCCTACAAGAGCCAGCCTGTGTGGCCTTGGGCAAGCTGCACAGTCCCAGGAAGCACCCAAAAGAAGGGAAGGGTAGACCACTCTGCCTGAGCACTCTTTGCCTAGAAAATAAGTCAGATTTGATGGCATATGATGATGATTAAGAGTAGCTAAATTCCCACTTGACTGTGCATACATAGCCAGTGCACGCATAGAAGGCTTACCCCCCACCCCCAGCAATGACGAAAAAAACTCTGCATACTTAAGAAGAAATTTGCAATGTTTCACAAGGGAGCTAAAAGTAGAATGTTGAATAGACTCTTGCTTGTTTATGCTGTGACACTGCTACAATTTTTCAGTGCATAGACTTTCCACAAACCTTAGATTTGCTGAGAAAGGAATTCTTTTCCCTCAGTTCGGCACACTGCCTTTCTGAAGCATTCATGATTGCTTCCACTTTGTCCATCCAGCCAGTGAACTGTCGAACATCATCTTGGTAACTTGTCCACTTAGAAAGTGCTCCTTCTAGCTGGCTGAAATTAAAGGAATTCACACATGTACTTAATTCATACATTTTAATATATATTTCATATATTTTAGCCATGTGTATTCCATGGAGAACTCATAATGTGTCATTTTAGCTATATAGGCAGGATATGGAAACAACATGGACAGCATTATTAAAGTGGGAGGTGTGCCAGACACCTAATATGGACTTCTTGACCTGCCTCATATACAGAGGAGTCTATGTTTCCATTCCTCCCATCTTAAAAGGGAAAAATACATTGCGGAGTGACTACAGTATGCCTGCAATCTTTGCTTTCCTTCTGGTGATCTTTGTACTACGCTCCACTTGAAACAAGTGAATGGTTCAATCACTATACTATGGTAATGTGTATTTTTTTATCTTTAAAGAACAACCCTAAACTCACTTGCTAGGCAATAAGTTTTGCTGAGCTCATTAGGACTTACTCCTAAATTAACTTTGTTAGGATTATATGGCTAATTACACATAATGATCCTATTTACCAATTCATTAAATGATAATAACATTTATTTTCATTACATCTCTGAAGCAGCAACTGTAATCACATTTTCTAAAGTAAGTCAGAAATAGAGTAGGCCTATTGGAATCAATGAAGGAGTTGATTCATGAAATCCTGCTGATTCAATTGGCCTATTCTAGTGCTAATTAATATGCTATGCAACAGGATTTCAGCCTTTATGTTCATTTATTTCTTCTCTGCACCCCTGTACACTCAATTTTATTTTGCAGATATGTTGAAGTGATTGCATTCACATTAAAAATCTTGCAAACAGAAGGCATAAGATTAGTTTATAAATCTATATAGATTGTACTTGCTGAAAACCGATTACTGTCCAAAATGAAAGCTCAGGAAGCCTTTGTGACTGAAAAGCAACCTGGTGGCTTATAATTTTAATTAATACTATTGTTTATTCTGATAATATAAATGCTATATGTACATGTATATTCATAAGTCCTTTTTAAAATATTCACATCTCGTGTTACCTTTTACAGTGAATACAAGCAGACAAAAGAGAAGCCCAGGAATCCTTAAGAGTTCTTAACTGCTGTTCAATGACAGGAGCTCCTTCTAGTGAAGTATTTTGCAAGACAGATTCTCCTCTTGTCAGCACCATTTTCATTTGGATTTCTTTTTCCTCTTTTACTGAAAGCAGCCCCTGAAAAACAAAGAGATCCAGTTCCCATCCTTATTATGATGACATGTACTTCTTTTTCCACAAAAAGGTAAATAAACTAATGAATCTGGGTTTACTGTGAATCCTTTAGATAAATGTATATTAAGAATTCCCTCGATTCTATGTATAAAGACTTTTACCCACTATGAATATGTGTTTTGGCAAATGTAAGAATTATGTGAAACATTAATAATACATTTTCAAGACTAGAAAAGGAAAACAAAATATGTACAAAAATAAATTTCTGAATCCCTTTTCCTATCCCCAAACCCATGAAAAAGCAAGGTGTGTGAAGAGATTTTTAAAACAAATTGCATATGCTTACATGATTATAGAAACCCTAATATTAATTTTTAATAACTATGACTGATCTCATTTGTTTTAATATTTCTATGGCAATATGTTTACTTTCATAAACTCCCTATTTCTATTATGAAATGAAATAGATTTGAAAACAGAGTTTGCTTTTGTGAGGTACATACTAGAAAAGATTCTTAAGAGCAAGGATGTGTTGGTGAAGGCCAAGGCCAAACCAATCTATACCATGGCATTTTTATTACTGTGTATGGATATGAACATTGGGCCATAAAGAAAGCAGGCATGAAAAAAAGATTTAAATTTGGCAGTGGCTCACTGCTAAATTAGAAGATACTTGATGGCAAAGAACAACTGCCCCGTGATGCAGTGGTTAAACTGCAGTCCTGCAGTCAAATCTCTGTACACAACTTGAGTTTGATCCCAACATATTCAATGTTTACCCAGGCTTCCATACTTCTCAGGTTGGTAAAATGCCTACTCAGCTTGCTGGGAGGTAAAATGTCCTCTGTATAATTGTGTTGTAAACTGCCCATAGAGCAATATGGGGCAGTATAGAAGTCAAAACAACAACAACCATAACAACAAAGTACATATGCAAAACTGTCTTCAGAAATATGAAATGAACAGAAGGAATATCTAACATTAATAGAAAAATCTAATGTTAAATATTTGAGTTAAAGAGACTTCGTGCTTGCACTTTACTTACCTCAAGTTTTGCCATTCTGCTATCAAGGGCATTTTTCTCTGCGGTGGGATGGCAGTATGATTCTAGCATCTGAATGGCATCTGCCATCCAGTCCTGAAGCTCTTTCAGATCATGAGAGAACTGTTGATGTTCAGCTACAATTCTGTCCATTCTTGAGACCTTCTCCTTAAAAGCATACAGATGTTAACATTACCAACTGTTCAGATAATCTAACATTCCACTGGTGTTGAAAAAAAATCAGAAAGGGAAATCTCAGAAGACTATGTTCAGAATGAGTCAAGGGGCAGAAAGTTAGAAAGACCAACTTGCCCTGATTTTCCTTTTCTGCTTTTGGTTAATGTCCACCTGTCAATTCCAACCTCGGGTGCATTGGTGAATACTTCCCAAGCTACTACACATATACTACAGGTACGATACATACTCATTCTTTTTCCCCTTGCTGCATTTACATTTAATGGAAGTAGTGGTAAAGCATGAGTACCAGAAAACAAAACAAGCCTATGTCTTCCTGGATCACTTCACTAGCTCTGCTACTTACATGCAGACGCTTTATAAATATTGCTAAGTGATTCTGTTTCTGTTCATATCATCATTTTTGCTACACAGACAGATAGGCACTTTAAAGGAAACAGAAGTTCAGTATTTCAAATGTAAACTCTCATTTTTCAGAATGTCTGCCACATAAAAGCATACAGAGATGGGCACATTACCTTTGTTACATTGCTCAAAGCAAGATACTGAGAAGATAGCTGAGAGACTCTGTGCACAAACTTTTTGCTGGCAGCTTGTTCTTCCCAAAGCTGCTGAGCTTTCTCTTTTAGCCTGTTGAGCTGAAGCTCATGGCACCTTATTTCCTCAAGGACAGACTGTAAAGCATAAGCAGGTTTGTTAGGTGCAGATGCAAAAGGCGAATTGTAAAGAAGACATGTAGCAAGAAAATTAAAGAAATGGCTTCTGCAAAAGTGTTAAGGGACGTGGACATAAAGACCTTTCTAGATGGTCATTTTAGAGTGCTGCTATTACTTGCTTGTTGCGCAGAGGTGATGGGAGAATGACAGTGCCTCCTCAAACAAGGCTTTTACTGGAGACATATTTGCAGCGAGGAGACTGAATATTTTGTTAGTGGAGAAAAGCAACAAACCACTCTCTTCCAGCCTAAAAAGTAAAGGTAAAGGATCCCCTTGAAAATTTGTCCAGCCTACCACTGTCCCAAATGAGATTGCAGTAACCACTTTGTGACATGCAGTGGCAAGAGTGTCATTGATACCTGTGAAAAAATGACTTCAGTGTCACTGTTGATAAGCTACATCTGTCTCCTGTCCATGGCAGCGTGCAAAACCTATACATGTTTTATTTCAGTTTTAATCTTACAAAGATGCTAAGAGATTCCAAGGTCTACAGCTCAAGTGTATAAACACTAGTGTTCGCTTGGTCAATCAGCTGTTGCTGCTTTTATTGTTAATAGACATGAGATACCTGTAATTGTTTCCCTGTGGATACAAATATTAATATCGGAATCACAGGTACCTGGGAAGTCCAGTCCCTCCCCCTCGAACAAGCAGGTCCAACTGCTGGTCACCCCATGTTGTGTGAAGCTGGCATCATTCTCACCATGCCAGTCATGGAAGCAGCCCTGCCAGCTCTTTCCTGCCTCCTTGCACAGCCAACCACTCAGCAGCTGAGTGGGGAGGCTCATCATCCCGCCTCCTCCCCAGGGACACAAATATGAATATCCCATGTCTAGTTGTTAAACATGAGCAACCCTACCTTCTTCACCTACAATGATGTCCTGACATTAAATGAATGCTTTGCTTCTTATAAAAAGCAAGGCTAAGTTACTTAAAGAAATTGTGTTCACCTCTACAACATGGAACTACACAAAAAGTCTGGATTGAATGGTAATTGAGAGGATCACACTTTAAATCAGGATTTGCCAAACTACCCTGTAAAGGATTAAAGGATGTGTTTTGAGCTGATCAGGTGAACCAGCCAACTCATAAGAGAAAGAAACAAAGCATGATATCAGGACGAATTGCGCAGCCAGAGATACTCTAACAAGACAAAGCTGAAGCTCATGTTATATCATCACCTGCAGTTTCTGCTGTTCTCGCCTTTTAGCAGGGAGGTCATGCAGGCGATTACTGCTGTCCTGTACCATTTTTTGGGTTTCACTTAACCAGTCCTGAAGAGGTTCTGCACTCATGTCAAAATCTTTCATCTGGGTCTTTAGGTTCTGAGAAAATGTGGAGAAAAAAAAGCATCTATGTATGACTTTGCATTAGTGGTATATTTTATGTAAATGACTGTACTGCCAATAAGGATCCTGACCTACAAGGTGATATTCAACCTCTTCCAAATGGCATTGCACACTGTTGGCCTAGGGCCGAGTAGGCCCAGGCAATCCTACCTATTACCATAATGGCCACACAGACAGTCCTGGAAAGAAAGGACACAACTTTATTGGTCTCAGCAGCAAGTTGCTGGCCTGACATTGGGATGGAACCAGTGGATCAAAATGCCCGCCTACGTCTTGATGCTGCTCCAAGCAGTCTGCTGCGGGTAATCTGCCTGGGGTGACAGACCCTGGAGTCCATGTGGGCGTACACTAGTCCATGACTCCCTGCCCTGGGGACAGTGACAGGCATATGGCCCCCAATCTAGACCAAAGCCTGCTCTGTCTCCAGATACCTTTAAGGGGATCCCTGCCTGGAGCCCATTAACAGCGAGGAGATCCATTCCAATGCCCCAAACCATCACAGAAAGTTGTGCCAAAAATTGTGCTGCAAATAAAACTTTTCTCACATGTGCATCATAGCTAAATACAACATTAGAATGGGGGAGGGAGGGAGGAGAACCTGCTCAGTTACAGAATGGCTGGGGAGCCCCCATGACTCCTGTTTTGAGCCAATGGGGGCAGCCGCACCCCCTTGTCAGTCTCCGTGCCCCCAGCCAGCCATGGCTCCAGGACCATTTTCAGGAGCCCTGATGTCAACCGGGCCACCGCTCCACCACAAACAAGGAGGTCTGGTAAGTTGAGGCCCCCTTTATTCTCAGGATTAGGTTCACAGTTTTGAGCAGGCTATACTTGCTCTGCTTGCTCCCATGGTACCCACAATTGTGTGATTGCTCCTGTACACAGATCTTTCCTCTCAACCAGTTCCTACTCTGTCCTCAGGTTCTTGGTGGCATTCCTTCCCATTTCAGCATGATAGGCTTCCCTCTCTGGCTCTTCCCTTCCCTCATGCCAGCAATCTGCTACTGCCTCCTCCTCTCTTCCCTTCTCTTTATCCTCTTCTGTGGGGGGTGCCCCTTCTTCTTGTAGAACCTTCCCCATCTGTCCACCTTCTAGTACTCTATTACCCCTCAGCTCCTCATCAGCCCCTTCCCAGTCCACCAGTGAGCTGATGGTAGGAAACTCCTTCACTGGTGTGGAGACATGATATGGCTCACCAGTGTCACCAAGAGAGGCTGGAAAGTCCTCCTCTTCACCCTCACCATCACCAACAAGATGTATACCAACTGCATTTCACTGACAAAAACACAAGAGCATTTTGGCAAATATTTCTGAAAAATACACTTTTTTGTTCCATACCTCCAGGGCTGTTTCCTTTTGGTGCAATGTGGAGATAAATTTTTTCCAATCTTCTTTAACTGAAGCAATTTTAGCTTTGATATATTTAGCTTTCTCTTTAGGTAAAATAGAACTTAATAGTTCTCCTTTGGATACCACCAAGTTTAATTTGTGCTGGCCACTTTCCGTTTCAGTTAAGAATTCCTAAATAAAAAAAACCACAACAAATTATAAAATTAGCAGTAATATGGTCTGTGTTTTATCTTGCAAACAAAGGGCAGCAGATATGCTGCCTGTTCAGTCAATCTTTACTTGTCCCAGTACTCAAAGAGCACTCTGGGCAGTCTCCCATGTTTTGCTTCATGAATGATAGACTGAATAATTGATATGAAGAGTTTTTGGACCAAACCTGAGAGATGTAATCCTAAGAGAGAAGGAAAGGGTGCTCTTGCAAAACAGGCAAACTATTCTCTTTAGGCTCAAGTTTTGTACTTAGAATTTTTCATGTTCATGTTTCAAAGCCAGAACGATGACCTTCGAGAAGACCAGGCTATTTTTGTTTTGCAAACAAATGACTTTCTATATATTCACGAAGGCGTTCACGGCCGGGATCTAATGGTTGTTCTGGGTTTTTCGAGCTCTTTGGCCGTGTTCTGGAGGTTGTTCTTCCTGATGTTTCGCCAGTCTCTGTGGCCGGCATCTTCAGAGGCATCCAGAGCACAGGTTGCTGTCCTCTGAAGATGCCGGCCACAGAGACTGGCAAAACGTCAGGAAGAACAACCTTCAGAACATGGCCAAAGAGCCTGAAAAACCCAGAACAACCAAATGACTTTCTATTAAATTTAAAATTCATGAAACTTGCTTTTGGTCCCTCTCACTATCCTATGAATAGTAATTACAAATTAACAACAGTTTCTGCCTTTCACATGCCTTACTGCAAATATATAAGCCTTCTTCAATGTACTATAAACTCTACAAGAAATTAAATGACTTTCCTACAAATACATTTTAATTATGCATTATCATCAGCAAAATCTAACATTGGAATACATCAATAAATTATTTAAAACAAGTATACTACATACCATTCTTCACTCTGTTCATAAATATGTACAGACTCAATTTACACATAGTGCTGAATCACATCTTAACTTTTAAAGAACACTCACCTTGGGCTCCTGAATCCTAACCTGTCCTCTCCTTCTCTGGTATTGTCACATTCCCCACTTAAGATTAGTTTAGCACATTATTCAAAACTAAAACTGTGATTTGCCTTAACGACAATTAATGAATGCAAGTCAACTCCACAAGCTATATTTGGAATGAGCATGTTTCTACTAAATGCTGTTAAAATCAACTATAGTTTGTCTCATTTTGGCTGAGGTTGTTAGCTGCAGTTAATGTAACATAAAAGACAATGCTATTGAATTATTTGTTGTGGGCACAACAAAGAAAGATTGAGGGACAGGGAGAGAGGGGGAGGGAGAAAGAGAGAGAGACAGAGAGAGTCAGAGAAGTATACAATGCTGTGGTAAGGTCAGGTGTATTTCCATAGAGCTAAATTATGACATATATCTGCATTTTTAGACCACTATTACACATAGATCTTAACTTTAAAAAAAAAACAAATATAAATCTTTAAAGAACCAAAATTTTTACCTGGATAATATCCTTTTTCCTAGCAATCAATTATTAGCAACTGTATTTGTGTACTATTAAATATTAACTTCTTATTAAGAGTCACAGACAAGGTTACAGTTCTAAACCCAGATTTCTTTGACGCAAACATAATTGGAAGCACCAACCACTCAGGAAGATGCTTTGAGCAACAGATATTATTTCTGTGCTAGAAACATTAGATATGTACAAGTTACCTGTATTTTCTGTATGTTGGCTGCAGCTTCACTGACACTTTGAGGGACATCAAAACATTTGGCAGTAGCGATCTTTGAATTAACTAGCCATTGCTGGAAGTCTCTGTAGGCTGTTCTGAATCTCTGTTGCAAGGCCTGCTCTTTACTTTGGCAACCCTTTGCAGCTTGTAGACAAAGACTTCAGAGCATCATGTTAGTCAAAGGAAAAGATAAATTAGGATTCTATCACTCAAAATTGAACAGATACTTCTTCCAACATGATAAACAACTTAACATAAAATGCTTTATGTAACAAATCAATCTGACAGTTATTAGTTGAGCCAGAATTTAAAAAAAAAAATCTAAATTGCCGCTCAAAGAGGGAAAATTTGATTTGTGAGTTTTTACAGCATTTTAACTTGCTTTGAAAGTTAAAGTTCAAAGCACGTAATAATCACAATCAGATTACAGATGTGAACGCCATACTGGTTATTCCTACTATAAAATAAAAACATACCTGTTGTATTCCTTAATTAACTGTGACACTTTTGCAGAATAGGTACTCAGATCCTTGGAAAATCGACAAAGATCATTTAACTGAGTCTTAATATCATCAGTCATATGTTCTGCCTTCCCTAGGTCATCCAGTGTCTCCTAATTAAAACAAAATCATATCGAAAAGTATTTATCTCTATGTACTGTAACTGTGACTTTTTCCACATACATACATTACATGGCATATCCCCTGCTCATCCTAGTACTGCTGTTATTGTTCGTTTAAAATTGACGGTGAAGAATTTCTGACAATATAACAAGTGACTATAAATGCTGTTATTTACAGCAATTTTAAAACACTGAATAAATATAGCTCCGGTAAGGCTGTGAGTTTTAATTGTACAAGTCACAACTTTCAGTCAACTCAAACTTCAGCTGGTTAATCAGTGGAAGTAATGGAGGCAACTAACTGACTCACTGACTGACTGACTGACTGACTGACTGAATGAATGAATGAATAATGTGCATTTTAAAGTGCCCAAGGTTATACTGAAGTTTAGGATATTTGATTATTTTCATGCCGCCAAGAGGACCAAGTGGAAATACACTACTGGTGCATAACCACAGGTCATGAAAGAATGGCTCAAGGACCACCGGATTTGTAAGATTTTTCCTTCCAAGACATCCAGTATCAGAACCTCCCCTCATATGTCAGAGAGGGAGGAGGTGGCATGCTAGGGCACCAGCGAAGAATCTGATGGTGATGGCTGACAAGTATCCCCCCACATATGTGACAGCCCTTGACTCTAAAACCAGTAAGAAAGAATTCATTTCGAAAATATCAGCTCTTTTTGAAGACAAGCCACAAATCTCATTTTCCTTCATTTTGGCCCAGCTAGCATGAACCCCCTAGTTTTTCAATATGATGTACCATAACAGGGGTGCACAACTGGTGGGTCATGGACATTTTTGTGGCCCTCAAGGCCAACCCAGAGATATGAGAACAGCGGATTTTGCATCAGGGAATCTGAGGCTTCTAAAAAAATAGGAAAATATGACTGGTGAATGGATTTGATTAAAGGTTTGTTTCAATGGGGAAAGATGCTGATATTTCTAGTAATAATATTAATACATTGTAGATTATTTCAAATCAGTTTGAACTCTTTATGTCAAAACAATGTTAAATTGAGAGGATGTAAAAAATTGAACTGAGTCAGTAGTATTTGGTGCAGGGGTTTTTAGTCATTCATGTGGAATGGGGCAAACGCAAAATAAGCCATGAAGAACAGGGACTTGGAGAAATTTCTGAGAACACTAGGAAATTTGGAAATGTCAGTCACATGGGAATGCTGAGCACATGAGCTGGGAGGATGTGAGAAAGAGCCTTAAAGCAAATAAAGAAAAACTATCAAACACCCTGTCTGTAAAAGTAAGAGAAGTCATACCAGTCCACTCCAAAAATGTCTCAGAAACTTCTCCACAAAGCAGAAGGGGAGAACTACATTTGTACATTTTTGCAGGAGAAAAGGTACTACAGAAGTATATGGGTTTTTTTTCCAAAAAAAGTTTTAATGAAATCAAAGTCTCATGACAAAGAACACCAAGGAACTTTGTGGAAATGTGTCATTTGAAGATGAGCAAGGCAGCTGCCTACCTAAACACTGTAAAATAAAGTAGTTTGCAGAATAGGAAAATGAAAGTAACTTTCTGTGCACATTTTCCCTGTTCATACAGTGGCCTACAACATCAACAACTGTGATGAGGAATTGACACATCTTGGAAAACCAAAGAAGCTTAGCAGAATGCTCAAAACATTTGTATCTTATTTCTGCTCCGTTCAGAGCGCCCAGGTTCAGTGCTATAAACACTAAGCAATGCTATGCAACATGTGTGCACACAGGAAGCCGCAAAATCACTTCTGAAAGTCACTCATACATGCTATCTTGTTTCACGTAGCTGGCCTCAGAGCTTTCAGCATTAACTGTTTCTATCCAGTTAAAAAGTTCATTCTGAACTTTTGCAAATCACTTTTTCCAAAGCAAGAGTTTAAAAGTATAAACGGGAGAAAAAGCGAAGACAGAAACAAAATGGTTTACCTTTTCTCGGTGCCAGCATTCCACTACCTCTTTGTCTGTGTGCTTGCTGTCCAGAGGGGTCAGTCGTTCAGACCAGGTTGCAAGGCGTGTGCCGAAGTGCTGCAGGGCCTCTTCCAGCTGAGTAGCCTGCGTGGTAAACTCTTGCTCAGACATGGCCATCTGACTCTCCAAGTCTTGCAAGCCCTTTTGGGTTTGGAACACACTCTCTTCCCACTGCTTCCAGTCGGACTGAAGGGCCTGCATTTCCGCGTCGATGTCTTTGCAGCCCTTAACAGTTGTGTTCTTTTTCACTGCAGGAGCCAGCGCCTGAACTCTGTTCAGGCGGCTCTCACCAGTTTGTCTGGAATCTATCAACTCCTGCAATGGAATATTGCCATGGTAACTGAAATGGCTGGGATCCACCTCAGCTGGATAGCAGCACACATTTACTACAAATGACACACAGCATTATACAGAGCACTGCCGGCTGCTCTGGCTTCACAAGCATTTTCACCAAAAATGTATTCTGCAGTAAAATGTAAGCGAAAGGATAAAGTGAAACAGAAAAGGGAAAAAATCTGTGCCGAAAGTAAGACAAATAGTTCAAAGTTAGAAAGAGCTGCAGTATCAAAAAGGGGAAGAAATTAGCCATATTTCCCAAGAACACAGAAACAAGTCTGTTTTGATTAAAGTTGGCCACCAAGAGATAACTGGGCTAGTTTTCTTGACTGGACTACTGTAATGCACTCTGTATGGAGCTATCCTTGAGAACAGCTTAGGAATTACAGCTAATGGTGGATGTTGAAGAACACTGGGAAGTGCCTGGACACACATATATTAACGTTTTCCTGATGGAGCTACACAGGCTGCCCTTTAGCTATCTGACTGTGTTCAGGGTTTTGTTATTTACATATATAGGGAGGCAAATCATGGCCTGATTTATTTCCTTCTTTCTTCATTATTTCAACTTGTGCACACTCTCTCTCTCTCTCTCTAATAATACAAAATAAAGTAAATATCATAAAATAGATAAAACTTGTCACTCACTAAAATCTGTCTTTAAACAGAATAAAACAAACTAAAAAGATATAAACAACTCAGATAGTAAAGTACTAATAAAAGGTGTATTTAAATAATACTGCTTTTAACTAATTTCTTAAAAACCAAGAAGGCAGGCACCTAATGAATCTCTATTGGAGGCTTGTTCTAAAGGAAAGGGTCCACTACTGAAAAAGCACACTTCCTATTGTTAACTCTGGCTTCCTATAACTTGATCCCATTATCACATGTCCTGCACTCTGGCATGATTGAGAAAAGATCCTTCTCCCTCCTCTACATGATTTACTTTCAAGTATTTGAAAAGTGCTATCATATCCCAAGGCTAAACATGCCCAGTTCTTTCAGACTTTCCTCACAAGGCTTGGTTTGCAGTTCCCTGATCATCCTTGTTGTCCTTCTCTGAAATTGTTTCAGTTTGTCAGCATCCTTCTTAAAGTGCAGTGTCTACAACTGGGCACAGAACTCAAGATGAGGACTAACCAGTGTCGAATACAAGGGAACTAGTATTTCACAGGATTTGGAGACTTTACTTCTGTTAATACATCCTAAAATATTTTTTTGCCTTTTTTTACAGCCACAGTGTGATAATAGCACATTTTTCTGCTGGATTTCAGAACTCTTGCATCCATTTGAGAAGGCTTCTCAGAATGTCTCATGTTGAGGCACCCTATCTCAACCATAAATGAAACATTGATGAGATTTTCACAGTCTTATTGGGACAAAGGTTATAAACGTATCTATTACATCTTTAAGATCTTCAGAGGCGGCCTTGCTGATTGTGCCACAGCCTACTGAATGTTCCTTGATGGGAATGTGGCAATGGGCCTTGTCTGACAGATTTAATATACATGTTAATGCTGCAAACTGTTCCAGTATTTTTCTTCATAGCAAGTGGTGGACATTTAGAAATAATAAAAATAGTATCATGCCATGTGGCATATTTTATAACATATACTACTTTATAAGTATTTAGTGTACAGTCAGAGAAAACAATGGGCAATGCAGATGTTCCACTTTGCAGTTCTGTCCAGAATTTCATATCATCCATTTTAGATGAAATTGCACCCATTTTGCACTTACGGGTCTTAAGAAATGCGTATTATTTTGAGTGTGATATTCAAAATGCAATTATCACTTTTTGTTGCAGAAAATGGCAAGATGCAACATAATGCTAGTCCTATTGTGAAAAGTTATTTCACAGTTTCCAATCTTTGTTTATACATCTGCAGAATCTAGTTCTCCTGAATATACATAGTGTGCAACACAATAACCCCTGTAAGATATATTGTTCGCTTACTTAAAATAATTGAGGACAAGCATCTGTGAATAGAACTGAGTGCTTGGGTAACAGCCTATCCTCCATATTACTTTACCCAGGCTTCATGCTCTGGAGAGGACACTCCTCAATTCAGAGCATGTTACCATAGTCTTTCGAGACTGAAGGATGCCTATGATGATTCAAAATGCAATTACTGTATCACTTTCTGTGGCAGAAAATGGCAAGATGCAACATAATGCTAGTCCTATTGTGAAAAGTTATTTCACAGTTTCCAATCTTTGTTTATACATCTGCAGAATCTAGTTCTCCTGAATATACATAGTGTGCAACACAATAACCCCTGTAAGATATATTGTTCGCTTACTTAAAATAATTGAGGACAAGCATCTATGAATAGAACTGAGACAAGCAAAAATGCTCATAGCTGAAGTTAAAATATGTTGGGCTGAATTCAAACATTGTCTTCTGCACACAACAAGGTTTGGCCCATGGAATGCCTTTGATCCAGATGAGAGATCCTACTACCATAAGGTGATTGACTGCAAATTCCTTTGCAGTTCCCCAGTTCCAGCTCCCACCCTGTCCTAGAAAGCCCTTTGAGGATATATTTTGGAAGCAGAAGGGAGCAAAAACCAGCTCTTTCAATTTCACTGGTTTGGTAGCAGAAGCAAAGCTTGAATCCAAGTTATTCAAAGAGAAGCAATGGGCTGTTATCACGTCAGGTCTAAAAGCATATAAGGGATGTAAAGAACACTGCTTAAATTCTTGGTTCTTACTGATGTAGCCTCTCTTGCACTGATAAAATGCTTTGCTGAGGAATTTCAAAATCCCATGTGATTCCCTCTGGGTGAGCATGAAACAAGAACTGGTATTTGTTCTCATGAAGATGTCCATAATTTGTGCAAAATGTCTTTGTGTAGTGTCCTTTGCCTTCATGAAACAAAGCAAGCACATCCACCCATTCCAATAACCAGAAGGCCGAAAAGTTGTTGACTCAAGTCATACCTATGGAAGGGAAAGTAGGTGGAAATATTCAATAATTGAAGACTTGCTCCTGCTGTTCCATGGCTTGTCAACTCACAAATAATGAGTTTTATTACATGGAAGCCATGGGAACATCAGAGCAGAAGGAAGAAATCCTTAATTACTGAAAATCTCCATCGCTGGATGAGAGATTTAACAATAGGGAGAGATCTTCAGAGACCTTCTCCTTCAATCCCATAGCATGGCTCTAACAACTTCCATGCAACTTCCATGCATCTCCAATAAATATGTACCAATATAAATTGCAAAGTTACTACGGCAGAATTTCTCACATTAATTTTGGCCAGTTTTTTCTGTATAGCTGCTGAATCCCCTGAGGCGTCCGACCAGCGGTGAAGCTCCTCCTTTGCTGAGTGAAGCCAGTCAGTAAATTCATGTACTGCATCAAGGTACAGCAAATGATCCTTGACAATATCTTCTACTCTTCTCATTTTTTCCTGGAAGCCATAATGATGCAGCAATTCATTACTATGTTCAAGGAATAAAAAGCTAAAGCTTTAATTCACTGGATGGCATCTATCTTCTGCTCAAGGAAATAAATATTTCAATTGTCTGACCAGATAGGCAGGATATAAATAATTAAATAACTAAATAACTAAATAACTAAATAACTAACTAACTAAATAAATAAATAAATAAATAAATATTTGTTTCAGTTGTACAAGCAGCTATTTCTTACTTGCAGTATTTTCTTTTGAAGGAGTAGATGATTGCCTGTAATTAGTGAGTTTTATGAGTCCTTGCCACTCTTGCTTTTGATCCAGGTATGGAAAGGAGCTTTTGATTATCTTTGTTTAGAGATCCACAGGTGCCAATCTGATTATATCTCCAAGAGTACTACCACTGACCAGAATCTCCTAGTATTACCTTTGTGGGCTCAAATGGTTCTGTTATGAGCATGTTAACAACAAATAGCTCATAAATGTGAGAGACCGCTTGTCCCATTAGGTTTAAGCATGTCCAGTGAAGCTGAAGCAAGCTCCCCAATCCCCATGAACTACAATATACAAAGAAGCTTTTTACATCTTTTCACATCTTCTATCACCTCTCTTTTTTTCACTATTTCAGTTTCTACTACAAGTCTTTGCATGCACATGCACACGTGCACACACAATGTTTCTTGTGGCCCTTTTGACTCAACCCATTGCCAAATTTGGCAAGGCAACAGCAGCAGCAGAGGAGAAAAAGAGAGAATTTTATTTAAAAGAAATCTGCTGCATGGCAGAATTCTGTTGGTTTCAAAATATATACTATTTAACAGTAGCTCTGTTAAGTTACTCTTCAGTGGAGAGTGTATGCCTTGTTTTCCACCTAAATCACACTGTCCTGGAAGCAGGGACAACTCTTGGACTGGAATGCCTCACCTCATACAAGTGCAAGGGGGGTACCCCTTATCTCCATTATGAGCCATATATGGTTTGGAGCACAAATTACCTTGAACACAAACCATCTCCATGAGCCTTCTTGCAAGGGAAAACAAGATGTTTTGCATGGCCACTACTGTGCAGTCAAAATCTAGCAAAGCCAACTTAATTTTAAAGGGAAGTAGCTATTTTCTCCCATTGCCATGCCACTAAAATTCAGTGGAGTAGCACCAGGATGCAGTTTTCAGTGGGCTAAAGAAGACTCAATCCACTCCAAACCCCATTAGCTACCCACTAGAGATAGGAGCAAACCACCAAAATGGCAGTTCATTGTGGTTTGTGGTTCATCAAGGTTGATGAACCATGAACCACAAACTTCCTCTGGGTTTTCCAATGAACCATGAATCAGTCCATGGTTTTTTTTTAAGACAGCCCATGGCTGTAAAAAAAAGCTGAGTCCCCCACCCAACTGCCTGCCCCCCATCCTCTTCCTACTGCCTCCCTTTGCCTCTCTACTTTGTACTGCCACTGGAACTGGTGAAACAGAAGGTAGCCTGCTGGAACAGAAAACACTATTCTGGCAGACTAGTCTGGTCTCTATGCTTCTCCGCACGTTGATCAACTGTTCGGCATGTACAGAGGCAGACAGAGCAGGACAGCCTGCTGGAATGGTGGTTTCCATTCTGGCAGCCTAGCTTCTATTCTGGTAGAGGTGGAGGCGATGGCGCAGTGGTGGTGGCTGTAGTGGCTGGACGACAATGTAGGTAGGGCAGTGAGCAGGGAATAGGGTGCAGGCTGTGGAGGCAGAGAAAGTGGGCTCACCGAACAGATGTTTGGCAGGCCCATAGGCAGAGAGAGCAAATTAGGCTGCCAGAATGGCCATTCCAGCAGCCAAGCTTGGTCTATGGCCCGAATGAAGGGACTAATATAAATGGGAAATATTGGTCACTTCATATTCTTTGGGCCTCAGGAACTGATGAATATGAAACAACAAATATTACATAAATCAGCGATTTCTGATGAATATTGTGATTCATTTTTTTTATTTGTCCCCATGTCTATTACATGACTTTAGACTCAGTGTTTAGTAGAGATGAGCAGGAATTAAAACACAAGTCACCAAATTTGTTCAAAAATTGCAGTTCTTCCATTTGTATTCATACCAATCAATGCCTCCAACAAATCCGAATCAATGAATATTTAGCAATTTTTATTTGTCAATTCATTTGATTATAAAGTGCCCCCCAGCACCTAGAGACACCAAAATTGCAGCAAAGCTTCCTCTGACTCTTCTCTACCTTCACTCCAAATTTGGTGAAGATTAAGTTTCCCAAGCCCGCTGCTAAAGGGCACTTTCTTGGGGGTACCCACTTTATGGGTGTATAACTTGGATGTCTGAAACCCAAACTTCACCAAACATGGATGATTATAGAGGAGATTCAAGGGAAACTTCCATGTGAATTTGATTGCTCTAGATGCTTGGGGGTATTTAATATGGTTTTAAAGTAAAAAAAATGAAATGACAAATTGATTCATTGATTCATCAGAAAAAAATATCATAAATTGGTAATTCATGATTCATTTTTATTTATTTATTTATTTAATTTAATTTGTATGCCACCCACTCTACCCAGAGGTCAACCTTGATGAATCATGAATCAAAATGAATCACCATTTTTCTGATTTGTGCCCATCTCTACTATTTAGTACTATGACTATACCACATCACCATCACTATGTACTTATGGGCCTTTCTCTATTTATGTCAAAGGTGGAGATACCAAAATTTTAATTTATAATTAAGGGTTCTCAATAGTATAGGGCTTCCATATCTTTTAATCTGTTCTCAAGATGACACACTGTTAGATTATTTTAGCCAAAGGAAAACATACAACACGAGTCACAAAGATTTTATGAATGAATTTTTCCTTCCACCCTCCTTCTTCCATTGCACTCTAAAATGGCAAAGTTCCTCAGTTCTTTCATCATTGTATTATTCAAAAAGACATTCCAAAATTAATGAGCCACATTTCTTCCTGGCACTAATTACACTGAAGGTTTACTTAAAGCAATAAAATGTCTAAGATAATTGTCCAATAAAATGTTTTTTTTCCTTTTTGGGGGGTAATGTATTTTATATATCCTATCCTTTTTCAATAGAGATTAAATATTTATTATCTATTATATTTTCAGGCTGGATAGCTCAGTGAGTTATGTATCTGGCTGCGGAGTCAAAGATATAAGTTCAATCCCCCACTGTGCATCCCAAAAGAGCCAGCCTGTACGGTCTTGGGCAAGCTGTACAGTCCCAAGATGCCCTCAGACGAAGAGAATGGTAAGTCACTTCTGAGTGTTCTCTTCCTGGAAATCCCCGAAAAGGGCTGCCATAAATGAGAATTGACACGATGGCACATAATTATTTATGTTATATATTCTCTTTAGAAATATGTTCATTGGACCTGACATAAAACTCGTGTAACTCTGTTCACTGGTTAAATGCCTATTATATTAATGCAACAGCAAGACATCATAGACTAAAACAGCTGTGTGGGGGCAGAATGTGTTGCAAGATATTTACCTTAGCCACAGTTGCAATATCAGTGAACTGTGTTTTCAACTCTTCTTGAGCGTCCTCTCTAAAGGAATCATCTTCTGTTTTAGAATGCAGGTCTCTGGCTTTCCCCATGAGCTGATGCAGATCTTTAGAATGCTCCTCCACTTCAGAAACAACCGCTTGGAAATAGTCCAGTTGGGAAAATTTCTCTTTCAGACCATTTTGGGGGGCCAATGGCTGCTCTACTTTGTGGTCTACTGACTCCAACCACTGGTCCAGCTGGCTTTTCCTCTCAAGGTAATCATTCCACTGATTAATCACAGATTCCAACAAGCTTATATTAAAAAAAACCAAGAATGAGATCAGAATCTTATAAGCCTTAAGAGAAATGAATTGAGTTATAAAAATAGATTATAATTATATAGGGATGGTTAGCAGTTAAATCTAGCTCTTGAAAAGGCAAAGCGATTATCTCGGTGCTGTAATTTGGTATAGGTAGTTAGCAGGCTTGGGGAAGTTAAAATTTAGGCCAAAACACAGTCCTGTCTGCACTAGCTAGAGAGTACTTAAGGTCTATATCTTTGATACGCTGAATAAGTATTGGCTTAATGCTACCTTGAGGCTGTCTCAGTAAGAAGTCCATAGAGTTAGTTAATTATAATTATTTATTAAATTAATTATTCAATAAATAATTATAATTATTTATGACATAAAATTAGATTACAAGAAGGTCCTTCCCACATTTTTATTCCTGACTCAGTTGCAGGGACAGAATTTTGAAAGGGAGTTCTGCAAATATCTGAATGCTAAACTGATTCTGAATAAGAAAACCCTGCATAACCCTTTACTGTTTTCCACGGGGAGGCAAGCAATGGTTTGTTTCCCTCTTAGTTTCCCTTTCCTTATCTGTGGGAGTGCCATTCCCAAGATTGCTAAGCCACATTGTTGTTGTAGTGAGGGCACACCCTTCTAGCAAGATGCGGCTGCTTCTGGGAGGCGTGGCTACACATTCTTTCTCTTTCTCATAGGTGATAAAGAGCTTTCTTAAAAGCCTTTCCTTGGGCCAATCATAATGGCATTATGTAACCATTGTCCTATCTGAACTCTGTAAACTATCTGTATACTGTCAACTATCTGTGAGCTTGTAAGGTTAATAAAAGAGAGTCCTCCTGGGGGGTATTTCCCCAGAGTTGATGCAGAGCTGTATTGAGAGCTGGATCCAGAGGTGGATACTGTCAACTATCTGTGAGCTTGTAAGGTTCATAAAAGAGAGTCCTCCTGGGGGCGTTTCCCCAGAGTTGATGTAGAGCTGTATTGAGATCTGGATCCAGAGGTGGATCCAGAGGTGTGTATGGAGGACTCTGCTGGCAGACATCCCTGTGTGTGTGGTGATTTCTTTAACTTCTCTCTCTAAGACTAATTGCTATCCTAATCACTTGTGACTACATAAACTATCAGTGTTCTCATTTCATGACCCTACACTTATCTGTGGGGGAACAGAGGCTATGACTGCATTACTTTGCCCTAAATTCATTCACACTGCAGGTAAATCTGTGCTCCTTTGGTTGTATTTAAAGGATTTTAGGATCCAAATTGCCAAAATAATTATTTCATGTAGTCACAGAGTAGAGAGTCCACCTAACAGGAAAAATTGCCAAAATTAAGATCACATAGTATTCAAATAGGCAACTACTGAAAGATTTTACCTCTGGCAACTCACGGCAGTGCTAATAATGCTACTCCAGAGATCTTTTAAAGTTTGCAATTGGTTCTGTATCACGTTCTGCCCTTCTTTATTGCTACTTTTAATGGCTTGTTCACCTTTTCCAATAGCCATGTTTAACTTGATCTCTCCATCACCTTTCATTAAAAGGATCTCCTAAGAAGCGGAAGAACATTAAGAGGTTTTAGTTCAACAACTTATATAAAAGAAAAATATCATCCCTCATATTTTAAAACTGTATCATATTTATATAGAAAAACAATAGCAGAATGGATTTTCCATCTAAGTTTTTCCGGAGGCAATGCTGTCACCTAGTGGATTCCTGATGACTACTCTCTACAGGGTTCTTGTTATAAATTAAGCAGATAATTCAGTTTGATATATTTTTACAAATGCTTTATAGGAACAGGCAGTTATCCTGATGGAATAAATCTGGTGCAACTGCTGAATTCTATTTTTGAAATCAATAGAAAGATAACCTTTCACAACTGTAAGACAATTCCCATGTGCATTTGGTCTTTTTGTATATTACGGTAACGCTGAGAATACTAAACTACTAAAATAATCTCAGGTTTCATTTGTAACAAACCGATAATAACCTTTGATCATAAAGAGCAAAGCAGTTTCAAGAACTCCTACAATGATGTTGACATCTCACTATGTGTTGGTTGGTTAACTGTATTTCAACATTTTTCCCCTCAATTTCCACTGCTGAAGTTACTGCTGTTGTTCACATGGAAATGATTAATTATCCTGAGAGGAATGCAGTGCAAGGGTTCACATTCAGCACTGGTTAGGCCTCACCTTGAGTATTATGTCCAGTTCTGGACACCACACTTCAAGAAAGATGCTAACAAATTGGAACAAGTTCAGAGGAGGTTGATGAGGATGATCACGGGGCTGGAAACCAAGCCTTATGAGGAAAAACTGAAAGAATTGGGCACGTTTAGCTTTGAGAAAAAAAGACTGAGGGGTGATATGACAGCACTTTTCAAATATTTGAAAGGCTGTCCTACAGAGGAGGGGCAAGATCATCCCAGAGTGCAGGACACGCAACAATGGGCTCAAGTTAAAGGAAGCCAGATTTTGGCTGAATATCAGGAAAAACTTCCTAATTGTTAGAGCAGAATGACAGTGGAACCTCAGGAGTCGGTGAGTGCTCCAACACTGGAGGCATTCAAGAAAAACTTAGATAATCACCTGGCAGATATGTTTTGAATGTATTCCTGTGTTGAGCAGGGGGTTAGACTTTATGGCCTTGTAGGCCCCTTACAACTTCAATTTTCTATGATTCCATGACATTGCATCTCTAAAATTGCCCTCACTCACTAACTCATTGCTGCCCTCAACTTCACTTTTCTATGATTCCATGACATTGCTGCCCCGTTTCCTTCTTCCTTGTGACATATGCTTCTCATTCTCTCTTGCCCCTTTCTCTTCTCCTCTACCACAATTATAGCACTGAATTGATATAACAAGTCAACCTAGTACACTAATTTTCAGCATTCTCTGATATAGCACTAACTTTGAAAAGGCCATTGAAAAAAAAGGTATTCTAGGGAAAGACAAGATCAATGTAGGGGGATGTTCCCAGTGAATGTGTCACGATCGATGTCACGCTTAGACACAGCTCCCATTGCCCAGCAATACTGATACAGTCATTACACATTCCAGTAACCAAAACAAATTGATGTGTGCAGAATTGTCACAAAATAGTGGTAGCCCTTGATGGCCAAACAAAATGCAGTGTGTGCCCATGAAAAAAGACTGCAGTAGAGATGGTACAATTAGTGTCACATCACTTTACCTGAATTTGCAAGAGCCGCTTCTCTAGGGTATCTTTGCTTCCAGTTATGCCCTCTGCAGATGCCAATTTTTCTTGCACATCTTTCACCCAGGCCCACATATTCTGCAGAGCTTCTTCCAAAGCCTGGTGCTCCTGGAGGGCCACTTGTGAGGTCCTCAGCTTTTCCTTTACTGCCTTGATTAGATTCTGATAAGCAGAAAAGTGCTGAGAAGCTAGACGGATCTCTCTCCCAGCACTGTAGCCTTTCTCATTCAAAACCTGGGCCTTCTGGTTAAGTTGATCAAAGGATTCTCTAAACAAAAAGTTCAAAAATTGGGAAAAAGCAGTTGATTTGGAAACATAGCCATATAGATAAATATATATATCCAGGGGCATGCCACAGCTTTTTGTAAATTAATCAAATATGTTTCAAGTATAAAGGATAAAGTAACATTTTCACAGAATGTGATACAAACAAAATTCTACTCCTTGCACATTTGCTTGTTTGCTTGTTTGTTTGTTTGTTTGTTTGTTTTATGCCATCCTTCTAGTGACCAGGCCACTACTCTGGACAGTCAGAATGTGATACAAACAAAATTCTACTCATTGCACATTTGCTTGTTTGCTTGTTTGTTTGTTTGTTTGTTTGTTTTATGCCATTCTTCTAGTGACCAGGCCACTACTCTGGATAGCTTACAATAAAAAGTCCAGATATGGGCACAAAACTGTAAGGAGTACGGTTGCCCAAGCAATTCAAATTGCTGATTTCTCAGAATGTTTGAATGTCAAGGTTCATTAATTGCAACTCTGTACTATTTAGGTGCTGATAGTGTCATTAGAGGTGAATCTAGAAGATCAGGGAGCTACAGATGAAGCCCTGCCTTAAATGTAGAATATGACAAAATCTTCCCTGCTGTTTTTCCCAGCATACTAGAAACATGTTGGTGAAACAAATGCATCGGGCAGCATATGCAAATAATCCTTCATAAAAAAATGATGTGAAGTGCTTTTAACTGCTACTTGGAATCAAAAACGTTTAGAAATATATCACAAGACAAAACCCAGTAACAATACAAAGGACTAGATTTTTGTTGCTGTAGCGATAAACTACACATAAAGCAAACAAAATAGTATCTTTGCTGCTATTAGAATATTATCACAGCCACAAAATAGGAATTTGTTAATAAAGATGACTTTATACCTTGCAACCAGAACCTCTTCCAAAAATGCCTCCACTTTCTGCACCTCATTTTTCTTCTCAGGGATGTGCTGTTTTCTGTTCCCCAAACCTTCTTTCCTCTTTTCTTCCATTTCCTCAAGCCACAAACTCCGGTTCTTGTATAGCTCCTCAAAGCTACAAATGAAAGAAATGCACAACTGAACACACATTACCAGATAAATACAGTATTTACTACATTGTTACTGAGATATTCTATATAAATATCATGAGTCCAAAAGAAGTTTCTCAGAATGAGAGAAGCACACAAAAGATTTTTCTATAGTTACAAGTATTCTAAAAATACCACAGCAAGGATCTAAATATGTCAAATAAGACCATGGGAAAGAGAGTTAGAATGGAACTTTCTAAATTCAGAACTGGCACAGCTTAGTATCACAGTCCATGGAGAAACTGAAGGCTATGAATTCAAGCACTGTTCAGACATTAATTCCTCAGGAAGCTTACAGTCATGTGAGGGGCACGGCAGGGTGCTTATCAGGTCTTGTCCCATCACTGTGTTCTTGTTGAGTCTGCCTTCCTTTCCCACCCATGTGCTAGTGGATGGATTGAGGGGAGTTTGTTTTGTATGGATAGGCTCACTATCAGATTCAACAGAACCTTGGGAAACTACGTTTTTTGGACTACACAACAACTCACAAAATTTCCAACCAGATGGTCACCTGGCTGTAGGATTTTGAGAAATGTAGTCCAAAAATTAATTTCTCCAACTTCTATGAATTAGAACCTTGATGGTGCAGGGTGGAACGATTATTATACTGAAACAGAGCTTTCCTTTCAGAACTCCTCCCTCAAGCATGCATGGGTGGTGAAGAGTTTGTAGGAGGATGCAATGGCACAGTGGTTCTTAACCTTTGTTACTCAGATGCTTTTGAACTGCAACTCCCAGAAACCCCAGTCAGCACAGTTGGTGGTGAAGGCTTCTGGGAGTTGCAGTCCAAAACTCCTGAGTAACCCAAGGTTAAGAACCAGTGCAATGGCAGGTGCTGACTGGGTAAGCATGGCCCCACATGCACAACTATAACCACATGTGCAATTACCGCCTGAACATAGCCTGTACTGTAATCCAAAGATCACTTATCCTATCCTGCTTGTTCTGTTCCCCCCATCTGCAAAGTCCATGCAATTATTCTAGCCACCCATTTAGTTTATTTGTATCCTTGCAGGATCCAAGGCAGGATGTAACATACTTAGGGTTTCAGATTTGGGTGGGCAGAGCAACAGCTGCATTTCATCGTGTATGGATTAGAGTTCTGATGGGCAACATCCAATGTTCAATGAAAGAAACAGAATTCCTATTGATTAGTATAACACTGACAACTAAAAATAAATAGTCTCTACTGTGAAAACATTTGAGGAGATAGATTCACTGTTGGTATTACTTCTGTAGAACAAGGATTCACACCATTATTATTATTATTCTATCTAAAGACACTTGGTTCTTTAATGGGATAAGATATGGTTATCATTTATTTATTGCAGTGAAGTATGTGTTATTATTTTGCTTACAATTTATTGTACAATGTTTTTGTAGAAGGGCCACAGTCCACTGCTCAAGCACATACTCTGCATGCTCCCAGATCTAGTCCCTGGTGTCTCAAGAAGCATGACTAATGCAGACTTTAACTTGAGTTTTGAAGAGCTATTACTGGGCTAAATGGCCCAACAATATCAGACAACATGAACATACAGTATTTCACACAATGTACTCCAAGGACATGAGACTGAAGCAACATACTGTCGGGATCTGCAGATGAAGCCTAGTTGTCGGGATCTGCAGATGAAGCCTGTTGTCGGGATCTGCAGATGAAGCCTGTCCCCCCTCTTGACCAGCAAGGAGAAAGGAAAAGGCGAAGCACTCGAGTGTGGTTTCAGGACGGGATCCGGATGATCAAAAACAGCATGCTGTTTAGCAGCTGTTCAGAGGGAATTCCTTGATCCTTCACCGCGTCCCCTTTTATTGTTTTCTACTACCTTTGCACTAGTTAATCAAGTACCATTCTAAACAGAGGCGGGTAATATCCTGAATACACAAGTAGGGTAAACAGAGGGGCCGGTAAACAGAGGCAGGTAAACCCTAAATACACAAGCAGGGTAAACATTCCTGAATACACAAACAGGGTAAACAGAGACAGATAACACCTTAAATACACAAGTAAGTTAATACAATTTACCCAGAGACAGGTAATTATCCTAGATACAAAGCAGGTTAATGAATCATCCTTTACTGGAAGCTAGCACACTGTATACGTGATTTGCGCGCTTAGCACAATGTCTGCTACTACCACAGATACATACATTGTAAAAGCATACATTTTCCCCACAACATACCATCCTGACTCTGCAACACATTCTTCCAGGGCTTGTTTATCTTTTAAGCACTGCTTCAGAAATCCCTCAAATTCCTGATGAGCTTTAGCGATCTGTTCCTGGATGTCACTAACAGAAGATTTGGGTAAGTAAGCATACAGCTGTTCTCCTTCCTGGGAGATATCCCCCAGTTTGCTTCTTCCTTCATTAACAGAGTCCAACACTTTCTGAGGAAAAGAAATACACAATTAATATGGGTAAAGTGTGAATTTTGATTTTCGGTATCTTCTGGAGGGCTTCTACAACCCCACTCCATCTATTTGGCTCAAGCCCATGTTAACTCTTCAGGGCTTTGACCTAGAACTGCATATCTGGGTTGCTCTCACTTTCTTTTCCCGATAGTTACCCATAACTAAGCCAAAACCAAGACCATGTGCACTGAATCTTCTGGGTGACTGGTACTCTTGTAGTCACAAAAGGGAAAGACACAAGGGACATGGTTTAGCATGTATTTATTACTGGCTCAGCTCCCCTTCACAATCCTCCCAATTTGAAGAGACCCTTGTCCAGCAGGCTGAGGCAAAGAGGAAGTCACAAAGGAAGCAAAACCAGGGAGCTGGACAGGGGACAGATTGGATTTGTCTTCAGTGTGGAAGAGATTGTAACTCTCGAATTGGCCTCCTCAGCCACACTAGACGCTGTTCCAAGTCCTCCATACAGAGCACGCTACCATAGTCTTTCGAGACTGAAGGATGCCTACTATAAAATGGCCTATAGAAAATATAAAAAGGAGCTTTCTAGATGTGCCAATGCCCATACAAATTGTGTAGAATTATAAAATGCCCTATTGAAAATATAAAAAAGGAGCTTTCTAGATGTGCCAATGACATCTGGCTCCAGGCTCTTACCTCTCTACTTCTCATGCCCCCATGCCAATATTCCAAGCAGAGAAACTCTTTTCTATATTTTCTACTGGACCTGCTACAGTTCTACCCAATCTGTATGGCCTGGGGAATCCTGCCCACCATCATCTCTCTGTTAAATTTTTTAAGACAGCAGATGGCAGTAGAGATCGCCACTCCTTTTGCATATGCAGGAAACAAGGACACACAAACCTCAGTTTTGTAGAAGCATGCCTGGTCTAACACTGAGTCAAAAACCATTCCATTCTTGAGGGCATGCTTGCACAACCCGAACACCAAGCTGAATATTGTGGTGCTTGGTTATCCATACTAACCATACCTGCAGTTCATGGAGTTTTGCTTCAGTAGCTTTAGGATTTCCAGATGTAACACTTAATCCTTTTACAGCAGTCTTCAGATTAGAATACCAATTCTGAAAGCCATGCATAGTCTCTTAAAAAAAGAAGAAATATAGAATGTTTCTGCACAGTTGAATAATTCTGATATTAGCCTTTATATATATAGCCTTTTATAAGAATCTAGTATTTTATAATGTATTATTTATTTGCGTGATTAATTGTATATCACAATTATCACCACTAAGGCAATAGCAGTGGATTTAGTTAGATCAAGGGAGTCTGGAATATGGGTAGAAATGGATTGCCAGTTTTACTTTTTTTATAATTCAAACTTTGTGAGCTTGGGTAAATTTTGGTTTAAAAAAGAACAATGAAATGTTCACCCTTCCCTATTCATTACACATAAAACTGTGTAAATAAAACCCTTTGAATGCCTGTTCTGATTCTTCTGGCAGGGAAAACCATTGAATGAGACCAGGGAACATGGTGTTGGGTTTGCAGTTAGAAATACTCTGCTGAGATCCATTATACCACCTACTGTGGGTAGTGAAAGAATCCTGTCTCTGCAGCTCCACTCATCAGCGGGACCAGTCACCCTCATTAGTGCATATGCACCAATACTGTCATCCACAACAGAAGTCAAAGACAAATTCTATGACAATCTGGCAACTGCTTTCAAAAAGATCCCACAGAGAGACCCACTGTTCACTCTCGGAGACTTTAACGCTACAGTTGGTGCTGATCACAATTCTGGCCCACTTGTTTAGGCTGTTTTAGCATTGAGAAGATGAATGAAAATGGGCAACGCTTGCTGGAGTTTTGCTGTTATTATGGGTCTTTGTGTCAGCAACACATTCTTTAAGATGAAGCTTCAATACAGTTTCCTGGAGGCAGCCAAGATCAAAGCATTGGCATCAGCTCTATTTGATCCTCACTAGACATTCTACTCTTCCTAGTATTACGATCACACATAGTTACCAGAGTGCTGATTGTGATACTGATCACTCCCTGGTGTGTAGGAGAGCAAAACTGCGAAGAAAGAGAGGGTATCACATGAAAAAGGAAGGAAGACCACGTATTGACATTAGCAAGACTCGTGATCCAAGAAAAGTGGAGGATTTTGTCCAAGTGCTTGAGCAAACCCTTCCAGGCCCGGCTGATGCAAATGCACCTGAACGATGGAAATATTTCAAGAGCGTTGTTTATAACACTGCCTTGCCCACATTTGGCAAGAAGACCAAAACCACAGCAAACTGGTTCGAAGCCCATTCAGAGGAGTTGATGCCAGCCATAGAGGATAAGAGGAGAGCTCTAGCAGCATACAAAGCCTGTCCTAGTGAGGCTCTTTGAGTTGCTTGTAGCAAAGTGAAACATCTGCCAGTAGATGTTCCAATGATTATTGGCTTCCGCTCTGCTCTCAGATACAGATAGTAGTGGAGACAGGTAACATCAAGGGAATGTATGATGGTATCAAGCAGGCTTTAGGTCCAATACAGAAGAAATCTGCTCCCTTGAAGTCTGCTACAGGCGTGATCATTGAGGACTGAATACAGCAATGGAACACTGGGTGCAGCACTACTCTGAGCTATATTCTAGAGAGAATGTAGTAACCGAAGAGGCATGAAATAGCATCGAGTGCCTACGTGTCTTAGAAGAGTTGGACAGCGAACCAACTTTAGCAGAAATAAAAGTGGCCTTGGATTCCCTCGCCTCTGGCAAAGCACCTGGGAAGGATAACATCCCTGCTGAAGTGCTGAAGTGCTGTAAAGACATCATCACCACCGAGCTATATGAAATCTTTTGTCTTTGCTGGAGGGAAGGTGGAGTACCACAGGACATGAAGGATGCAAACATCATCACAATGTATAAGAACAAAAGAGACAGGGCTGACTGCAATAACTACCGTGGCATCTGTCTTCTCAGCGTTGTAGGGAAGCTGCTTGCCTGTCTTGTGCTAAGAGACTCCAGGTGCTTGCAAACAGAGTCTATCCAGAATCACAGTGTGCATTTCGAGCTAACAGATCCACCACTAACATGGTATTCTCCCTCAGACAGTTGCAGGAGAAATGCAGGGAACAACAACAGCCACTCTTTGTGGTCTTCATAGATCTCACAAAGGCCTTTGACTTGGTTAGCAGGGATGGCCTTTTTAAAATACTTCCCAAGATTG